ATTTCCACTTTTAATTATGTTGGATGAGTTGATGAATTTTGTCAATAGTTTTGATGTCTGAAATTTTCTAGCTAAGTATATACAGTAAACCTTGGTTATAGCGAACTCCTGGAGAATTAAAATATTACTACCGATTATACATGTAGTAGAAAAGCAATTACAGTATTACAAAACATACCTTGGACAACTAAGGTTTTATTATTCAATGGGACTCAAAATCAGTTGGCTATATCCATAAATTCCATATATCAGAGTTTGTTATAACTGTAATAAATTACAAAGAAATGTTATATCTGGGATGCTATATCCTGTTTGATCTAAACAAGTTTTACTGTAGGGTGTTTTATATTTGTAGTGTTGTTAATTATTTTATACAATATCATTTTTTAACCTAGTACATTTAATGTATATATAATATGTTTAAATCCAAAATGTTTAAATCCAAAGAAACAGAGATTATGCAGCATATGTTTAAAACTAAAATGTATAAATTCAAAGATGGAGGAGAAAAAAATGTAAAAAGAACTTGAATTGTGAATTGTTTTTGTTGATACCGATTTTCTCCTTGGGTTATTTTTACACTCTTCTCATGACAGTAGAAGTACATACAGTAACTCATAAAATGAATTGTTCCCCTTTGAGTAGTCTATACGAGGGGTGTTAGAAAAGTTCGCGGACAAGTTCTATTGTGAGCGCGCTATTTCCACGAAACCGGTCAAACTTTTCAGATAAAATCTTAACCTATTTTACAATAAATATACAAAAATTTGGTGCTCTCCGGTGATCATTGAAAAATAAACGGCTTTTTTATTTTGATAAATCTTGCATGCTCCATTTTGGCACGTTTACATTACAAAGACTCTTGATTAAAATTAAAAATTTCACAATTGTAGCGCAAAGAGATTTATGATATTTTACCTATCGCTAAAGTATTCATGAAACGTCACTTGGAGAAATGTTGAATTAAATTGGAGGATATATGACTGTTTTATAGCCATTTATAAATGATCAACACGTAAAGACACAGCCAAAAATCGGAACGTCATTGAGCGTCATGGAGCACTGCACTACGTAAAAATTATGTGTGTAGACAGTAAAATGTCTAAAAAGAGATTAAAATTTTCAAGATGCTGCCGGAAATTTCCTACACACACAAAGGACAAAAGTTTTCAAATGATTGTGACTTCATATAAATGGAAGGATTAACATTTTGATTGATTAACTCCATCGATACTTTAATACTCTCTTATCGCATGGACGTTGTGCCTATATGGTTTTGCCGTTTTCAAACCTGATCAATATACTGCATAGACGTTTTTAAAGATCTCAAAAATATCCGAATCAATACAATCCGAATTAGTATAAAAGACATTATAGTAGAAAGGTAACATGTCTTGATATAGATGTTCAATTTTAAAGTAGAAAAAAGATAAAAATCTGAAGAAAGAAAGATTTATAAAACTGCGACAAAGCATAACGGATTGAAATCTGGTTGTCACGTCGCCTTACGTCAAGGGATTGCTCCGTAAATCCTATGACATTATAGTAAAAATCGTTGTAAATTTTCAAGATTTTAGTAAATGGACCTGATTTTTTACATACCAATAAACAACATGTAGGAATTTATTCAGACATAGGTCATACTTCACAGTACACAATGTGTCCGCGAACTTTTCTAACAACCCTCGTATGTCTACAATATTATGCCCTGTTCACACGACGAGTTTAATTCGCAGTAGATTAATGCGAAGTAAACTAATGCGAATGAAACTAATGTGAATTAAATTGCGTTCACACGACAGTTAATGCGAATTAAACTAATGCGAATTAAAATTTTTCCTCTACAGTCAGGCGTCAGTAAGCCTATTATGACGTCATTTGTAAATCACGTCATGTATACAGAGCCATCCTTTGATACATCATGTAGAGGCTACAGGTATTCATTGATTTTAGTGATTAACATATTTTTCCTCAATTTTTGAACCATATATAGCACAAATACCCATATATAACCACCAACACGTGCCCTGTGACTTAATTCTGGCCTTACGCATGCGTCAAAATTTAATTCGAATTAGCTTCGCTTAGCGTTCACACGGAGCTAATGCGAAGTAATTTAATGAGCAGTAAATTAATTCGAATTAAACTAATTAGCATTAAATTCTCCGTGTGAACTCTAAGCGAAGCTAATTCGCAGTAAATTTACGTTTAATTCGAATTAAACTCTCCGTGTGAACAGGGCATAAAACATAAACTTTAAATTTGGAGAACTTCAGTATAATCTCATCATCTCAAGCCACGGTCCGGAGTCCGCATATAGCTCTCTCCTACAGAATGGGAGAGGATCATACATTTTGGCCGTGGTTTGCGACGATGGTATAATCTGAGTTGGTGCGGTAAATGTTTTGCTGTATTTAGATCACAGGACTTACTGTATTGTTGTTTCTTGAGGTAAACATACAAGTGTCATAACCAGGCAAGCAGTCATTTTGAAAAGAGAGGGAAAGAGAATAATAATTGAATAAAAATTACATGAAGATCATATTCCATATGATTTTTTTTTTAATTTCCATACTGTTTACAACGAAAATGTGCAATATTAAAAGAATCAAGTTTAAGATATTCTGGTTTTTTTTAACTTGAAAGGTGATAAAAATTTTACCTTATAATTCCATTAAAATAGAGGTACAGTCAAACCTGCCTTAACGCCCCACTGTATTTAGGGACTTCCTGTCATTTTTCCTCCAGGTAATATTTGAATTTATTTGACCTGCATTCAGCGACCCCTGTTTATTTCAACATTGGACTATCATTTTCCATTCTTATGCAGTATTTTTTTTTTGATATTCTATTCATGATTCTGTTTGAAATCACAGATTTATTAAGTGTCTAACTAGAGGTCTCTCGGGCTTCAACGTTCCATAATGATACAGCAGTTAAAGAACACACAGTTTCAAGGCCAACATCATTTTCTCGGGAAACTCAATTTTATGCATGGCAAAAAATTACGCCTTATTAATTACCGACGAAAATAAATTATTGAACAGAACTATCTTTTTAATGTGAGTGTGGTTGTACTGAATGTTTAATATCAAGGTTGTACCACTGTGCCCGTAAAACCAAACATGTGAGCGTGATGTAGAAAATATCTCAATACCAATCACTGTGTTCAAATTTCTCGCTGGAGGTCGTGAGGCGACATACGTAATAAATTAATAATCCTTGGTTATAACTGATTTCAGATGATCACGAAACGGGCAATTCATCTTTGAATAAACACTTTTTAATTTAAAGGGCAATTTGGGCAATTCTTTTTAATTGCAATAAATGGGTTAGAGAGGTGTACGTAGTACGAAGTTCAAAACTAAGTCAGTGGCGGATCCCACATATGCGTCGGAACCAGGGGGGGGGCTTAATTATAGACATAATAATATATGCATTGAACACTGGGTCGTAGATTTAGCCCCCCCCCCCCCCTTTTGAACAGGAACGTTGCAATTTTTGTAGATTTGATTTTTTTTTCTCACTTAGCCCCTCTCCACTTTCAATTTGCTTCCGACGCCAATGTCCCAGAGATTTCAGAGGGAAGGGGTGTAGGAGCGCCTAGCATGTACATTGTGCTGGATCCACATTTGAATTAAAGGAACGAACTCAACTGCTCTGTCCTTACACCTTGATAAAATTATCCATTGCCAAAGTTTAGTTTTTGTTTTAATACATATTATACACACTTTATGCTGTAATTACTGGTAGGAAAACAAGCATTTGTATGGAACTCAAGTTCTGAAAAGAAAGTAGCACACCTTTTCCCAATAGACTGAAATATGGGTCATATAGTTTTACTTTAAATACAGAAAAAATCTCTGTTAAGGATATTATATTGATATTATCATCTACTCCATCGTTTTATGGAGTTAATGATGCACAAATATTTCAAACATTACTTAAAGTATTGCATCACCAAACAGAAATGAATGATCAACTGCTTCTAAAGTGTTGCGTTTTTGTGGGGGGGATAGATGGGTTTTCTTAATTGTACAGGTATCAAATCCCCATTGTAGATGATGAAGAATGTGATGACTTAACCAAAAAGATCGTTAGCATCCTTCGGAGTGATGCGCATTAATGTATGATTTAAGCCTGCTCAGCGGGAAGTTTTTGATATGTGGTGTGGTCATTCTGTAGTGTAGGAGTTCGTGTGATGATCTACTGCTGAGGATTTGCTCACTCAAAGCCTACTCATCATTTGTTCAAAGCTTGAATTTCTTTTTATAACATTTTGATTTGTAAATTGGCTGGCTGCTGCGGTTCTAGTAACATTTGTAGATAACATTGTCGATGGGCATACCTTTGCTCTCATTCATAACCACGGTCCATTCATAAAGTTAGATTGGCGAGCCTGGTAATTAAGAGCGTGATTTATGGGAACTCCCTTCTGTAAATGACCAATATAATTGGTTAAAATTGCTAAATGGCACCATACAAGCCTGAAATTCTTAAATACGCCAGTGGTTTATTTCGCTATAATGGACAATATTGTAAATACAGTTTAGAGGGAAAACATGGGTTTCCTTCGCTATGATTATATGCATTATCACACAGATAATCCGTGTTTTGCAGTTTCACAGCAACTGTGCTGCAGGAGAATGTCTAAAGAAGTTATATGCTTGTATTCTGTTTGTTAGCTTTCCCTGGGATTGCCCAAATGACAAGGGAAAAAGAGATCTAAGTAATATTAGGAGATAATCATTTCAAACCCTGCAAAGAATTCTTAGACAACACTTAATCTCATTTTGTTTTCAAACAAACGATATATAACCAAAACAGGACACAAGGTCAATTCCCTCAATTTTCGCAAAAACAAAAGGCATTAAAAATCATATCATTACAACAAGAAATTGACGTATATTTATCGTTTTATAACATTATGGATTGTGGCTATATCAGTTATCATAATCGGTTAGAAATTGGCATCACATGGTGTGGGCAGATGGCCGGAAGCTGCTCAGTTACCAATATCGTCCACGCTTCTACTGCCGTGTCATTTTGTGGACTGCTATCCAAGGCCCCGGCTGGCAGGCAAGGTAACGCTTCAAACGTTCTCATGTTCGTTAACAAGTATTCTTTTTTCCATACAATGATTTAATTTTATTCTTGTTAAATTAAAGAAAAAAATGATGCCAATAAACATTTTATTTTAGCATTAAATAAAATTTCTTTGATTTAGAATGTCGTCATTTAAAAGTGTAGGTGTTAGTGAAATTTATCTTCGTTAATTTTTAGTTTCATTACTTGAGTTTATATTTTTTAAAATAAAATGTTTCTTTGAAATAAACATGTTCCTTATTTACTCGGCAATAAAACAAAATTGTCTCTCTATTTAATAGTTATTGAATATGCTTTATTATAACTCCCATTCGTGCTAAAAGTAATGACGCAAAATTACACCCTTTTATTTCGATTTTAATAGCAATATCAATTTGGTGCTAAATGCTTAAAAGGTCACGGAAAACGTTTTATATTCTTCTCTTCTTTCCAACCATTTTTCTATTGAAATGCATTTCTTTCAAATGAAATAGTCCATGTAATCGTAGATCAATTTAAAGCAACAAGAGGAGCTCCACAGAGTGAAAAAAACATTGATGATTTTCTTGATAAAATAAGATCGACATTGAAGAAAAACGCTGTACTTAGATATCTAGCTAATTAAGGTCTTTCACGATTTATATTTGGAACATTATCTTTAAAATGAACACGTATATATAATTATGGGTTAAATGTAAACATAGATTTATAATTAAATTATAAAGCCATTGATGTCCAAAAAAAATCTTCTTGAGGTTGCTTTTTTATTTTTTTCTCAACACTTTTTTCTTATTCTTTTAAACCTCTTTCAGGTTTTATCATTGCTTCTTGTAATATGGTTTGTTCAGATTTGAATGAATTTGTTCGTAATGAAAATGAAGCAAATTTTTATTCTTTTTCGGAGATTTTTTTTTGTCTGTGCGTTGAATTTCAGCTAGATTTTTAAAATGTAAAAATTTGGAGAGAACGAAAAAATAAGCTGGTTTGATATGGGTATTTCGCGATAATTGTGTTTTAGCATCGATAAAATCAGTACAAACTATCTTACAAATTTCTTTCACATTTCATTTTTTGAGTACTAAAAAAATCATTTATTAATTAAATGATCTGAATATAAATCTTCGCCGTGATCTTTCTCCATTGTCGTAAATCAAAGAATAGTTGCTATTTTTTGCAATTGACTTTCAGAGAGAGAGAGAGAGAGAGAGAGAGAGAGAGAGAGAGAGAATTTTTAGCACAAATAGCATATAATTATACATATTTTAAACTTTAATAATTGTCATACATGAGCGTACGTCATATTTTCCGAATTTCAAGGCTATTGTGAATTGAAAATTTATATCGGTCAGGATTGACTACGATTATTTAAAAAAAAAGTTGCTCCTTTTTGGCCTGATTTTTTTAACTGTCTTTTTGTAAGCCAGGAAAGAGGATAATTTTTTGTTTGTTGTTTAATGTCCTCTCTAGAATTTTCACTCCAATGAGACGCCACCACTTGCCGGTGGAAAGGTACAAATTTTGTGCTAAACTCGGCATCCACGGCTATTGAGCAGGGGGGGGGGTCTTTTTCGTGGCAGCATCTTCTGCGACACCAGACCTCGGGTTTTACGGTCTCATCCAACAGACCGGTCTGGAATTCGAACCCGCGACGTAAGGATCAACTTTTTACTTCGTGACTCTTATATCACTGCGCCACGCGGACGACAATATAGGGATTTGGATTAATAAAAGCAAAGTGCATCATGCACTTAATGATTAAAATGTAACTATAACATCCTTTCTTGTCCTGGTGGGTCATGATGAATTTATCAAAGAATAGGGTAGTTAGATGGGATAAACCATTTTTGCTGGAATCACAATTATAAATAATTCTTTTGAAAATTGTGTAAAATTTCAAGTTTGAATTGCTGATATTCAACTAAAAAAACTCATAAAAAACTTGTTGATGGGGATTTGGCATTTGAAAGAGTTTGATAAACATGAAGTCAAAAGCCGGAATTGTTGTATTTTTTTTAAAGCACATTATTTGGTTCAAGGTGGGTATGACGTCGACAGGGGATGCTTACTCCTCCATGGCACCTGATCCCAACTCTGACGCTTTTAGAGGTCCGTGTTTGATCTGAACCTAATTATTAAACTTCGAGGAAGGGGTACCCCTTTAGATCCGCACGTGTTTTGGTATACATGTACCCGATGTTTATCGTTATAAATACTATGCACATACTTGTGGCTATTTTTCATTAGCGACACACTTTATTATAGCTCTTCTCTTTACATGTCACAAATTTCCTGTTTGTTCGTACCCGATGAACGCGCCCTGTCTCCATCCATTGCCTTAAAATCTGTCAATAAGCATCTGTTTTTATCGGCAATTGACTTAATGACAAAATAATTAAGGCAATCTTTATAGGGAATCATCTTCTATATTTCACAAGTGAGATTTGGAGACAAGAACCATCAAAAGAGACGAGAGCTATTTAGTCCTTCCTCTGGCGACGAGGAATCTCTCGGCCTGGGTTTATTTCTTCGTGGGGGAGGTCGCTTTAAGACCTTCACAAATCCCCCGGCAGGATAATCTGTCAGGTGTTATATGTACAGGTAAATCTCAGGTAAATCTCAGGTGTTGATATTAAATGAAGATAAATGCGACGTGGCTGACGTAACGATAACGTGGGGGGAGTGGTTGATTCCTTCACATATAGACCTCCAAATCATATGTGCATGTATGATTTATTTTGGCCTATATTGCAAAATGAACCATCTTTATCAATGTATACATGAGAGGCATCTGTATGATGTAAACAAAGTGAGTCACGCTCTACAGGTAGAGAGTACTTGGCTCTCTTCAGTGGGCCAGGTGGGATGGTCGGGCAGATTTCTGACTTTTAATATGTCACACTTTATTAAAGTATTTAAACAACGACCCATTTTAGTCAGTTTTAATATATATGTTGATATCAGCGGGTATTGAACACTCATTTCAGAATGAAGAGCGATTTTCTGATTTTTCTGGGATGTTTATGTTGTGTTTCACATGCAGCGAGGAGAAGAAGAGGTGAGCGAGCATTTCTTTAATAATCTTAACCAATAAAAAATATCATAACTGAGGACTAACAGTCTATGTAGAGCGTTCACGTGTTTGGACGAATAAAATTGTTTCCGGTTTGCATATATGAGAGCTGAGGATTTTTTTCTTTGAGGGCCTTGGGGTTACAGATATCAGAATTGATGGAAACATTTAAAAGATAGCTTCTATAAAATATCAGCAGATTAACATTAAGGTATAAAGCTGTTTTTATTCTGCTTTTCCAGTATTAGGCTATTATTTCAAATTCAAGGAAAATAATTGTTAATAAAAGAGAGTAAAGGTCAGCATCACAATAAACGTCTCCTGAAGCCATTGGCTGGTTCCATCGAGTGCGGCTATAATCCAGACGCGGGAAAATTATCGCAATATTTATTTTATGTGGCAAATTTACACCACTTCTGGTCATTTATATCCGATATTAATATAGCACTTTTGAAAATTTTCTAGGTTAAAATTATAATAAAATAAGGTCAGATAAAAAAAAAAATACAGGACTCTATTATACGAAAATGTGAATCGGCGATCTTCATAATCATCACTGAGTACTGAAGAGATTCACAAAATTCTGGTAAATTGACCTTATCAATTTTTATAATAAATCTTTAATCAGATGTCGCAAACAAACACATCAATAAATAAAGTATACATTTATATATCTATAATATTTAGAAGCTACAGATTAAATTTTCCATGGAATTTACTTTCTAATAGAGCACGCGTCTTGTACTTTCTTTCCAAATTTATCGATTTCCAACCTTTTTTTCGAACACACAAGGAAATTGAATTTGAAAAAAAAAATCGCAACGGACTCAGTCTTCTTTTTTAACAGCTACCTTTTTAAAAAAAATATGTTGTTGTTTTTTTTAATTTAACATGTATAATAACATCTCATATTTAATTCAAATGATTTTATAATTGACATTAAATTTCTTCCTTTTTCACAAAAATACATATATATATCTTTTTCCTCTTATCATTGAGCTTCTTAATTTGATTTATAAATTTTGTACAGGTCACGAATAACATTTTTAAAATTAATTTTGTTTTGGTATTAATTTTCGCGCTTAAGGAAAAAAGATGGACGCAAGATTAGTTTTCTAAAAATAAACAGATTTGTAATTTTTGCTTGTACTATTTAGCCAAAAAATAAAAGAATGATGTAAAACTAGCTGCGAGACATCAACAGTTCTAGATTTTAAAATAGCAATTGTCATTAAAAAAGTTATTGTTTTGCATGATATGTAAAATGTTGCATGTTTTTTTTTTCGATAAAAATTATCTTTAAAAAAGTTTTTTTGCAAATTGATTGGCTTGATTCGAGGTTAGGCACAATATTTTTCTTTGGAATGAGTAATTTGTGATTTTCATTAAGTAATTTGAATGGTTTGTATCTATATAAATTTGGGACATTGTTAAAAAAAAAAAACATTAGCCTAGAGCAAGATTCCGTAATATACAGGATGCCAGGTCAAAATTAGCACTGGAACAAAAAGATAAGAAAGTTATGAATACATAATGTAACGAAAATCAGATATATCTGAACAACTGATCAATAAAATCGTTCTCTCTGAATTTCAGTCACAAGTCCGATACACCAACCGTAATATAGGTGATAACTGAAAAGTTATAGGAAGAAACAATACTGTAAGGCTTATAGGAGACAGGCACGTTTTTAAAATAAATTTGTTGATCCATAGTGTAATAATAATGTTATTATTAAACTATGGGGCAAAAATTTATTACAGAAACAAGTGCCTGTGGCTGTAAACTAAAAGTTAATTTTAAAAAATATACTAGTATAATTATGATAGAAGTCTACATTAATTAGTGTATAGCTATATAACTATTGATGTAACTATTAATTGAAGCAAGTCATAGCTCTCAAAAGGAAAGGCTTCCATCCTTTTCTTCACCAGATTTCAATTATTTGTTTGACAAGAGTCATCAGTTTCCCAAATCCTCAGAAGAAGCTATAATAAAAATAGTTAAACCGTAGTTCTGCCTAGCCAAACTTTACTTGATTCTTATATTTTTATTCTGATTCATGTGAAAAATAAAAAATGCTCGTACCATTAACAATCCTCCGAAGAGGATTTTATTTTGTTTAAGGGAGGATGAGTCCTTACATGCCCACTTCATTACTGCGATATTTCCATGTTGTAATCTATCAATCTGATAAAATCATCGATCCCAGCATCTCACAGGAGGACAATGATTAAACCAATGCCGGATAGAAGACCAACTGTTGTTCCTGATGCCGGATCTTAATTTGCCCAAAAGTTGCAAAATAAATGGACTGTCACAAGTCAACATCGACAAACGTATTTCTCAAGAATTCTCACAAGAATTCTTATATTTATAAATGCACTGTTGCTTTCCCAACAAATATCAAAATTACTTGATCCGAACTAAATTGAGAAAATATTTTGAAGTTTTTTTTTCGTTTTATCTGATCTCTTCCAGTCTTTCTTTTTTTGCGTTATTAAAGATTCTTGCTAAAGTACGGAATCTACAGTACGGATACGTATAAATATGGTTAGAATTATTTACATGAACTGAATATCATATGAAAAGCATAGTTGTTTATCAATACCTAAACGATGCCAAGCAAGTCACATGTCTAGATTTCTAGAGTAGCGGCTCTTCCATCATTGAGTTGTACAATGATAGACATATCTACATATCAATAATACAATATTCAACGCACTTGATTTTATATGCTTTTAAACAGATAGGTACTTTTCCTTAAACAGCTGCAACATTAATTCAAATACTAATAACGAAGATAGCACAAGTTAAAAAAATATTTTATTATATAAAGTAGATTTGTATATTAATAATACAATGTCTTTTCTTTTACAGTATGCCCAGGACTTCGAGACCCCGATTACGTGAATTACTCTAATATCCGAAGATTTCGGGGATGTACAAAAATTAATGGGAATATTATAATCACTGATGCTACATTCCATGGGTAAGTACACGTCTTTTCCTAAAGTTTATTTATGTTTAATTACATCATAAAATGTCGTGCTATTTAATTTTGTAATTTTGTTCACATGTTTTGATGATCTTTGTGATGTTTTAGATATACAATTTCTTTTAACTGTAGAGATCCCTATCTTAATTTGATGGGACTTCATCCGGACGCCTTAAGGGTATTCGAAAACGTCCAGGATATAACGGGTTTTCTTGTGGTACAGGGCAAACACACTGACTTCACAAACCTATCATACTTCAAGAATCTTATTCGAATACGAGGAAAAAAGACGTATGTATATAAACACAGGTCTAGTACTATATTCTTAGGATTAAATTATTGAATATAGTTTTAGTGAGATATAATGGTCCCTTTCAAGTTCATTGAAGCTAATGATGTAAAGGAAATCTTTTAATGGAGAAATACACCGAGTGTGATTAACAAAAATAGCCATGCGAACTCTTGAAAATCCTATTGTTAGCTTAATTTACAAATAACAACATAACTGGTAGGGAAATGCTAGTATTTAAACAGTAATTGTTCACTCTACAATTGTTACGGTGGTATTTATATAAATGTATTTTGTTTTCTCTTGTTTCGTTTTCGTTCAATCAGATCGTGTTTTTCTTTGTTTCAGATTGATGAACAACTCATTAACCATAGCATTTACATCATTAAAATACCTCGGTATGACGTCATTAAAAACAATCCAGAGAGGAAACGTAGCTATTGCCAGCAATAAAGATTTGTGTTATGTTGACAGTATAGATTTTCGAAAGTACTTTAGAAGGTCAAGGCGCCAAAAAGCCATAATCAAAAGAAATAAATCAGTATTAAATTGTGGTAAGGAAATTTTTTTTTATTTAAATAAATGATGTAAAGAAATTCTAAAAAAAAAATTGTCCAACCTATGTACTGCCATGTTTTGCCCCATATTGTTATCTTTCAAACGTTTCTAGTTTCAGAAAAAGCTGTGTGTAGCATAAGATGTTCAACAGATGGGTGCTGGGGACCAGGATACAATAACTGTGTTAAAAAGGATACACGATTTAGTAATCTAATCGATGACATGCTACAGTCACAGTCATTTTACACGTGACAAGAGCTCACATGTAGTGTCATGACGTCATGGATTTATCATGGAGTTGATGTCACTTCCGGTATTATACCAAATGAGATTACTGGTCCACTGCCATTTATTTTTGTTGTTGGTGTTTGTGTTATTAAATGTTTACAAATTCATCTGACTGAATTATTTTCATATGTACATGATTATATAGAAGGCAAGAAATGGCCGATCCGACCCACCAAAAGAGGTCCCAGCCTTGATCTGCAACTGCAACTTTAAAACCTCCCCACCTTTTGTTAGGTGTATTATTCGAAAATTAGAATGTAGGTCAACTCAAACTCAAAGGTCAAGACCAATATTTAAAAAAAATGTTGATGCCCAAAGAATAGTCTTGTCACAAGGAAACACAGTTGACATAGTAGCCCTAGCACCGACCATTCAGAAAATGTGTCCAAGATTGGAGATTTTTTAAAAAGGTAGTTCATATTTCAAGGTCAATGACATGAGAGTAAGAAAGATAATGGTACTAAACTAGAAAGTCTTGACACAAAGAATGTGTAAGTTAAATATGAGAGCCCTAGCAGCAACCATTCTAAAGTTATAGACAAGATTAGATTTTCCCCAAATGAAGGTCAAACTCCAAGGTCAAGGCCATGAGATTACAAGATTGACATCCCCTCAAAATTAAGGTTTACCATAAGAAATACTAACGTTATTTATGAAATTCCTAGCACCTGCTCAAATGTACTGGTCAAGGTTATTTTTCAAAGTAGGTCAACTTCAAAGATCAAGGACAAAATCTAAAAAAATATTGTTACCCAAAGACAAGTCCGGACACTTGAAATTTACATGTTTAAAAAAAACTCCAAAGTTATGAAAAGATATGCGTTTGGTGATTTGTTGCAAAAGTATGCCAAAATCCAAGGTCAAGAGATCAAGTACTGAGTATATTTGTACCCAAATGAATGTTTTGCAAACAGAAAACACTTGTGAAATATGAAAGCCCTAGAATCCAGCTAATAAAAAGTTACAAACAAGGTTAAAGGTTTTGCAGACAAACAGACAGACTGATGGACTGACCTAAAAATTATATGGCCCAAATCTTTGATTACAGTGGTATACAAGTTGTCATGAGACCTACCAAGAGCACAAATAATTTTGACCTTGGAGTTTGACCCACTTTTGAAAATCTTAAATCTTGGCCATAACTTTTGATTGGTCAAAGCTAGGCTTTTACATTTAACAGATATAATCCTTTTCCAAGACCTTTCCTTTGATCTTTGACCTACTTTTGAAAATTTTCACCTTTCCCGGAACATTTGAATGGTCGGTGCTAAGGCTTTGATAGTTTACAAATGTATATTCCCTGTGATACTATCTCCCCTTGAGCATCAACATTATTGACCCTTTGACCTTGACATTTGATTAATTTGTGAAAACTAACTTTTGTCATAACTTTTGAATGGGTGATGCTATGGCTTTCATATTTATTATAAGTATTCCTTGTGATAAGGCCTTTCTTGGGTACCACCTTTTTGATTGTTTGATCTAATGAACTTCATTTGAAAAACTTTAACATTGGGCAATAGCTACCATGTGGAGGGAATCAGCCTTAAAAATGCATCTTGTTCTTTTCACATAGTCATGTACAAATTGAATTCTAATCCAAACACAAGAATTCAGAAAAATTCTTGGGTGTTGTGGATACCTTGAAGAAATTATCTCTGCATTAAGAGTACACAATAAATTTTGGGCAAAAAAATCAATAATCTTGATCACTAAAAAATGGTTCACATTAGTTGCAGTAGTCAGTTGGGGCAAGCATAGAAGGATCAATATCGTGGGAACTTTTTGCTTGACAGAAATGAAACCTTGAAGGCAGCTTACACCTAAGGAGTAGATGATGTGTTCAAAAGGCAAGATTTTAACTAAAGACATGTCACGATTGTGACAATGATGCCGATTGTTTTATATAGGATTCGTGTTACCCTGTTTGTACATTGTACTTTCCCCCATTTGTTGATCGCATAATCGGTTACATTTCTTATTATTGATTCACTGTACTTACGTTTCTAGAAGAGAATGATCTTATGATTCTAATTTTATCATCCTGGATTAATTTCAGTATTGTAATACGCTAGATTTGTTGTAAATATCGTTTCTACTCTGTAACTTTATTTATAGAAACCGCCATCATGATGATTATTTTGTGGAATATCAAGCCCGATTCTAATTGTTATTTCTCTGTACTAAGCATTTTTATCGAAATTTAATACTTAGGGGATATTGTCATATTGTGTAATTGTTTTATATTATAATTGTTACATGTGTTATGTGGATTATCTATTGTTATTATTAAACATTATTTGACAACGATTATTGCCGGTGGCTGCCGGTGACTGCCGGTGGTACCGGAGATCTGCCGGTCGTCCCTAGGGAAGCGCGTGGGTCTCCGGGGGGCTGTCGAGAGCTATATAAGCAGGGGATAAGAACTGCCGGTGGACTCGGCATTTAGATTTTGAGGTTAGCGGTTGTTTATTTGATTCTTAGCATTTAGCAGTAGGAATTTAGTAATTTTTGAATTAATTCATAAATTTTTCTTATAGTGAATACGGGTTAATCTCGTTTCACTATTAATTACTAGTATTTATCGTAGGACGTTTATATTGGGTTAATCTCGATATTAAACGATTGAATAATTTTGTTACGGTTTGACTGAAAGTGAGTCTTGAAGTCTTTCCGTGTAAATAATTGTTTATCTTTGATAGATTTTAGGAATTCATTCAATTTAAAGTGATAATTCGGTTGCGTTAATAGAGATATTTAAACAGGAATTAAGACTAGGATTTGATATAGAAATTATAGAGATAAATTTCTTGCTTTAAATAGCTTTTATACATTGTGTAGATTTGTTAAGGGAGAAATACTTTGGTTATTCTAAGGTATTTCTAGGATTTAATATACACTATTCGGGTCATTCTCGTTTAGTGCCCCCCCCTTTATGGTATTAACGTAATACGAAGGTTGTGTTACTGTTAGTGTAGTATTTCACTGTGAAATTGGGTGATTCCCGACTTACAGTGAATTTTATTGTAATTGAATATTAATTAATACATATTGTGACTTTTATTTATTGAATAAATTTGTAAACTTTAAATAAGGCTTATCATTTAACTTCCCCGTAGTTATTTACGAGTCCAAACACAGGTTATTCTTGTGTTATTATAGGAGATCTTTATTTGCGGGTTATTCTCGGAAATAATCACAGTACTACATGGGTTATTCCCGTGTAGGCTTCTAAGGAGTATCTGTGCGTGAGATCCAAGCAGCTCAGGTCCGTTACATTTGGTGGCAGCGGTGGGATCTGCCAAGTACATCGGTGGATCCAGAGATACGTAACCCAGAACCAGTGTTGAGAAAAATCCATGCATAGGTACTATACCAGATCCAAGACTAGGATGGAGCCATCCGTTAATCCTGGACATTCCAGAGGACAACCCACAGATGAGGAACTCCTCATAGATTTATCGCCGTCAGCGTTAAACAGATCACTCCGAGGGGAACAGAGCATGTCCAACAATGACAACTCTACAGAGGATGAAGATGACTCAGATACTCAAGCTAGAATATCAACGCCTATTAGAAAAATAAGAAGATCCAAAAGGACTGTACATCGGCATAGGGAGAAAATCCCTACAGACACAGAACTGTCAGAACCAGTCACACAGTCATCACAGAATAATTCTCTTATAGACCCTATGAAGCTAATGATGGAACAGATGACCCAGACAATGAAAGCCATGCAGAATATGATGGAAGCAACTACTCAGACTCTCAGACAAGTAAGTGACAAGACAATGAAAGTCATGCAGAATATGATGGAAGCCACGACCCGAAATATCGGACAAGTGAACTGCCAGTCACATACTACAAACTGCGAGCTGCAGCCTAAAATATCAAGAATCATCTCAAATAATAACAAGTCAGAGACGGGAACCACAGAAAGCCATCATAAGGAATCAAACGAAGATTCAGAACAGTCTGAAAATGAGCAATCTGTCAATTCAGTTGCCACAAGGGATTTGTTCGAGTCGAAGAAGTCAGTTAACCACAAGCTTGACTGTAAGCTTCCGCCTTACACAGGTTCCGAGAAATGGAGAGTTTGGCTGAATCGCTTCGAGTCTGTAGCCGAGTTAGCCGAGTGGACTGCTAAAGAGAAGTTACAACAGATATTACCAAGAATACAGGGAATTGCAGCTGATTTTGTTTTTGGTCAGCTGAAGAAGGAGACTATAGGGAACTATGAGACCTTAGTCGCAGAAATAGAATCCAGATTTGGAACACTGGAGAATTCAATTCAACAACAAAAGGCAAGGAAAAGGTGAAAGTCTTGAAAAGTATGCTGCTGACATTAAACGTCTTTATGACTGGGCTCACCCGAGTAGAGATGCCAGCACAAGACAGAAAGACTTAATTTCAAAAATTTTGCAAGGGTTATGGGATTCTAAGGCAAGGCAGTACATTGAATTACACAAAGAACCATCAACAATTGAAGAGGCAGTACAGCAGGTAGCTGCTTATATGTCAGTCACCTCCAATATGACCACAAATGAAGAGAGACGCCCTATAAGGCAGACTAAGCCTTTCGGAAAGGGAGACAATCACTATACTGGGAAGGGAAATACAAATTCCGTGAAGATGACAAAGGGGAATTGCTTCATTTGCAACATGCCCGGACATTATGCCCGAGAGTGTCCAAACAGGAGTTTTCACAGGACAGAGAGATCACAGTACAAGAAACCTCCAGAGAAAACCATGTCATCATCTCTACCAAGTAAAGATAAACAGCCAAACACAAGTCAAAGCCAAGCTACGAGTACGATGTCACCTGATGCACCAGAATTTCAACCAAGTCAACAATCAAGATGGAATGTAGACTTGGATAATGATTGCAGAGACAAAAAGGAGAAGCTTTTAAACTAGAAGGGGTCAGCTCCGGAGGCCAAGAGAAGACCCATAGTAATAAAGGCCAAAATGACTGTAAAATTTTAATCAAACCTATTTTAAGTGGAAATTTAGATGAGTCGGGGGAGAAAATTGAAAACCAGGGGAAATTCCAGCCTTGCGTCAGGGACGTTTCAAGGGAAGAGGAACTGTGTGCTCAGAGGGAGTACATTAGGAGACAGCTCCTCAAGGCAGATGGAATTTATGTTCAGGGAACAATTCAAGGGATAAAGGTAGAGTTCACGGCAGACACAGGGGCTGCAAGAACTATATTATCCGACAAAATATTTTGGAGACTCCCCGGGAACGAAAGACCAGAGCTAAAGGAATCTTCAAGCCTTGTAGCGGTCAATGGAGATCCACTTAAAGTCTTAGGGAAAGCTGAATTTGCAGTGCAGTTAGGAAATCTAGAATTTCAAAGGGAGATAACTGTTGCGGGAATAGAAGATGAATGCCTCTTAGGTATGGACATCTTGTTGGACAGTCAATTTGGGCCTGTAGTTATCAATTTGAATGACAGCTTTATTGCCATGAATGGCTGTAAAATACTTTTCACAAAAGCGAGTCGAATTGAAGATGGTGCTGGAAGATTCGTGTACAAGACCTTTGACAATGGCTAGCAGACCAGCGTTGATTAATCTTCAGTGAAGAAAATTAGTTAGAATGTGGTGTAAGTATGGTCAGAGTTTAGGTATATGCATTTTGTAATTTTGTTTTTAATTGTTGTAAATAATTTTCAATTGAAATAATATTAGGATTGGGAAACTGAGGAAATTATATGACTTTGTCTAGTGTACATTTTTTAATGTTAATTTATTATTGTCGATGGAGAAATGTATTGAATGTATATAGACATGTATTGTTGGTTTTTTTTAATCTTAAGATTTTGGTGAGGACACCAAAGTTTTAAGAGGGGGAAAATGTCACGATTGTGACAATGATGCCGATTGTTTTATATAGGATTCGTGTTACCCTGTTTGTACATTGTACTTTCCCCCATTTGTTGATCGCATAATCGGTTACATTTCTTATTATTGATTCACTGTACTTACGTTTCTAGAAGAGAATGATCTTATGATTCTAATTTTATCATCCTGGATTAATTTCAGTATTGTAATACGCTAGATTTGTTGTAAATATCGTTTCTACTCTGTAACTTTATTTATAGAAACCGCCATCATGATGATTATTTTGTGGAATATCACGCCCGATTTTGAATTGTAATTTTCTGTATACTAAGCATTTTTATCGAAATTTAATACTTAGGGGATATTGTCATATTGTGTAATTGTTTTATATTATAATTGTTACATGTGTTATGTGGATTATCTATTGTTATTATTAAACATTATTTGACAACGATTACTGCCGGTGGCTGCCGGTGACTGCCGGTGGTACCGGAGATCTGCCGGTCGTCCCTAGGGAAGCGCGTGGGTCTCCGGGGGGACTGTCGAGAGCTATATAAGCAGGGGATAAGAACTGCCGGTGGACTCGGCATTTAGATTTTGAGGTTAGCGGTTGTTTATTTGATTCTTAGCATTTAGCAGTAGGAATTTAGTAATTTTTGAATTAATTCATAAATTTTTCTTATAGTGAATACGGGTTAATCTCGTTTCACTATTAATTACTAGTATTTATCGTAGGACGTTTATATTGGGTTAATCTCGATATTAAACGATTGAATAATTTTGTTACGGTTTGACTGAAAGTGAGTCTTGAAGTCTTTCCTGTAAATAATTGTTTATCTTTGATAGATTTTAGGAATTCATTCAATTTAAAGTGATAATCTAGTTGCATTTATTGGAATATTCAAGCAGGAATTAAGGCTAGGATTTGATATAGAAATTATAGAGATAAATTTCTTGCTTTAAATAGCTTTTATACATTGTGTAGATTTGTTAAGGGAGAAATACTTTGGTTATTCTAAGGTATTTCTAGGATTTAATATACACTATTCGGGTCATTCTCGTTTAGTGCGCCCCCCCCCCCTTTATGGTATTAACGTAATACGAAGGTTGTGTTACTGTTAGTGTAGTATTTCACTGTGAAATTGGGTGATTCCCGACTTACAGTGAATTTTATTGTAATTGAATATTAATTAATACATATTGTGACTTTTATTTATTGAATAAATTTGTAAACTTTAAATAAGGCTTATCATTTAACTTCCCCGTAGTTATTTACGAGTCCAAACACAGGTTATTCTTGTGTTATTATAGGAGATCTTTATTTGCGGGTTATTCTCGGAAATAATCACAGTACTACATGGGTTATTCCCGTGTAGGCTTCTAAGGAGTATCTATGCGTGAGATCCAAGCAGCTCAGGTCCGTTACAGACATACTATGATACTGTACACCTAATATTTTAGGAACCCTTTGCTTGACTGATACCAAATTTGGTACATTGGTTTCCTTTGAGTAGATGACCCCCTAATATGTTGAGGTTGCAAGGTCAAGCAACTCAAAATTTCAGAACATGAGGTCACCATCAGTGAGAGATCAAACATCATATACTAGTACATGTAAATGCATTTCTGCTCATTTGATTGAAAACCTGCAAATGTTAAAAGGGATACAACTGGCTTAAAGGCACTGCGACATACTTGTTGAGGGTATATAGTGATTTTGTTTCATCCATTATCATACACTTATTTCTGGTATTCAAAGAATGAGTCAAAACAAGAAACAATCTGTTGATTTATGTTTTTAATAATTCTTTTTTAACTTAAAGCATCAATGGCAGTATGAAGTCATTAGTTCTAATTAGAGAAAAAATGATAAAAACAAAATATGTAACTCACAATTAATAATATCAAGTCGCATAAAATCAATGACATGTGTATATTAGCCGGACATAAGAGATCACTGAGATGACATTCCATAACCATACATTCATTTTACAGCAGCTGTAGACAACAGCATAGCTAGAAGTTTTATTGCAAGACAGAGAGGTACCTTGTGCATACCACAACCATTTACTGAACACCATTAACTTTTCTTTGTTTCTCCTTTGCAAGATATGAAAGCTTAATAAGAACATCCAAATTTAATTCTCATAGATGTGGTTTCATCAAGAGTTGTTTCCCTTAGGTCACCATATTGGAGATCAACAAGCCCAATATCTATGTTTTTGCCGTACATGTTTAAATTCCTTGCTCAAAGAGGAAATTTCATCAATTTGATCTCCACGACAGCATGCAAGGGAAATTACTCAGAAAATCTTTCATAAAAGAACATATTATCTAGCAGTAGTTTGCAATAAACCAAATATTGTATATATATAGGGATTTTTTTTAACATAAAGGAGAAACAAGTGATTTTTTTGATGAGTAAAGGGACATTATTTAGTTTAAACATAAAAGAGAAACAAAGAAAATTTCAACCCAGGAATAAGGTCACCACAACAGAAAGCAAGCCTTACCATAGCGTCTACACAGATGGCATAAAAACAGTGATAACGATATCTACGAGATACATGTATTGTTTTCTGAATGCTATTAAGCAAGCAGGAGTTAAACAGATTTTAAAAATAACACAAAATACAGGTGACAACTGTAAACTGGACTGTCTGATTGCTAGAAGTCAACAGATTAAATAAATAACACTAATTACAAGTCACAAATCAAATACAACTGTAAACCGATCTATCTGATTGTTGTTAGATAACCTTGACTATTCTACACATATGTAGGTGGTACTGGTAAAATGATTAATATTAGACAAATAAAAATAATGGTTAAAAACATTAAAACATGTCGCACTTCAAAAATATACAACAACAGAGTTTTTAAAACATAAAGTTATACATTCGAAAATTCATATGTGGTCTGCACTATGGTTTTTGTAAGGGGAGGGATGTGTCTGAAATGATATTGTAGGGGGTTTATATCCATAAATCTGATATAAAAAAATGAGAAATTGTCAACTATTCATTTTTGTTCCCTTTCAGTAAGTATCTAATGGCCAGGCAATGATTATTCATAATATAAAACGTTTCAGATAAACATGTTTAGGTTTTAGAATTGCAGAGTTCAGTAATGTTACCAGATAAAGAAACTTCACAGATATTCAATCAAATAATAGGAAAAATAACTATAACCTCCTTAGTTTTGACAAATAATCTTATCCTTCAGTAGCATTTGCACATAGACATATCATAATAGTTTTAGATCATGATAGCTTCTTAGCAACATGAGACTTACAGGAATAGGTGCAGATGAATACAGATGTCATACTTTGGTGCCTTTCTCTATTCAAAACCAATGATATTATCATTTACATCTGATCAAAAGACAACTTCTAGATTTCAATTAAGCTACAAAATATATGATGTCGCAAAATTCATCCCATTCAACTGTTGTACGTACATTGATCACTAAAATAATTTGAATGTTTCAGAATCGCCATTACATGTACATTCACTACATTGTATTACTTATTTATAAATATTTACTCATCTTAATTTACAACTTCATTGTAAAAACAACTTTATTGTATATACAAGAATATTTCTTTAAAAAAAAATATCTTAAAATAACAACAATCAAACCACTTACTCAAGTCTACAAAAATAAAAACATTGTGGTCATTAGTATCATATGGGACAACATTGTAATGTATATAACAGAACATAAACACTACAGGACATATTCACAGTCAAGCCTCTAAAACATGGGTACTGCTGAAGAAAAAAAAATTCAGCAGAGATTTATTAATAAAGCAATGCAAGATAAACTTAGCTTATTGAGAACAAGACAGAAATATAGGCTCTGTACTGTAAACTGGGCCCCTGCCTTTGACTGGAGAATACAGTAAAACTTGGTTACAATGAAGTCACTGGGACCTATAAAATTACTTCACTATATCTGTAATTTCTTATATTACGAGTTTTGCTGAACATCTAGCTGTGAACTTTTTATTAGCATATTTTTGCAGAATGTACCCAAGTTGTGAAAATCAATAGCTGCAGTTTGAGTTCAAACAGACAATTGTGAATAATTCTGAAAAAATCATTCAAATTAGAAATAAATTAAAATCCCAAATCAAATGTTAATACTTGTCTCCATCTACAAATCTGGTTAAAAATTATTTGAATTTATCCATGGGTACTCAAATACATGTACTTTTAAAATAGTGATAAATCTTTAGTGTCAAATACTAGTACTAGTATAGGACAAGGATTTCACAACAAGTTTTTTTTTAGCATCTTTCAATTGGTTATATGTTGCACAGAATCACTGTATACAGGCAATTGTGCCTAACATTAATTTAATGTTATTTCAATGTGAAGTTAATGTTAGGCACAATTGGCTGTGTTTCTTATATGCTTTTTAACTCAGTGAATCACAGCTTCTTTGGTGATCATTAAATAGTGCTGTTATATTGAGTTTACAACTCTAATAAATACACATCAGACACATAAAACATAAAGCTTCTTGAAGAAAAAAATATAAATTTGGAAAGGCCAATGGAGGTGGTAGCAAAGGACAGCACTGTAACTGAAACATGTAGTAAAAAATCACAGATTAAATGTTACAATTACCGACTAGCATAATTCTCCGTACTTTAAAGTCACAGACCCAACTAGAAAAATGATTAAAAAAATATAATGATGTTTTTATATTGCTTGTCCAAGAAAGTAATACATTTTCATTTGATACATCTTGATTTCACTATCAATTTAAGGCTTAAGGACTTTGGGTACATGAATAAAATCCTCCCTTATATGGAATCATGTAAAGTGTTTTTTAGATTTGCATCTTCTCTTGTAGAAAAAATGATAATATAAAGCAATAATGATAGACACACACAATACATAATACACAGCACAGAGTCCCATGTCAGTGGTGCTGACGACGCCGACGGCCGGGAGATTAACGTCCCGTGAGGAACCTTTACGGAGACCCGCCGCTCTGGACAACAGCCTCTTCCTCTTCTCCTCCTGCTTCTGTTGACGAAGCTTGCGGAGTTTCTCCAGATCCTTACTCCTCTGCATCTTCTGCCACCAGTCCATGTCTTTCTTATCTGAACTGATTTCTGGAATGTTCTCCATGTCGTTTGGAATGCTAATGATGTGATCAGATCCATACAACTCTAACAGATAAATCAACACAGCCTCTTCATCAAACTCTGGATCTTTATTGTCTTGGGACCTGTGACACTTTGAGCAGGCAGATTTGGGGGGAAAAGGGACTTTTGGGTGTTTAGGGTCTTCTGAGGTGTTCCCGTGGAGCCTCTTATTGACCTTGTTGTGTGACCTCCACAGCCAGAGGACTAGCTCTTTAGGTGAGGTCACCTCCGTGTCGATGGTTGCTGCCATCTTTGTGAAATGTCTGCTGCAATAAGCACAGCCAAAGAAATGCTTCATATAGCCTCCTATAGCTATAAGAACATCCTTGTATAGGAACTTAGGACCTACAAAAATACATATTTTGGTTACTGTAAAGTGGCAATATTGAAGGGTTGCAAGTTTGACAATTTCAGTATATTCCAAATATGGCGAGTGGAAATGTTGACAATCAACTTCTATTTTACAGTGCTATTCCATAACATTGTAAAAGTTGGCAAGTGGAAATTTTGACTATCATTAAAAATTTGACAATTTCATCAAGGTTTCCACATCATCAATGTTTCTAGCTTTACAGTTTTTTGCTTTCGTATGAATTAATTCTATTTCACAGGTAAAACACAGGTATTTTTGAAAATCAAAACTTGCAAAAAATAAAATATCTTATACATTTAATGAAAACATAAAATATGCATCCAAAAATTACTTTTTTCAAATTATTATTCAAAGTATAAAAGACTGTCACAAGCCTTCTCAGACTAGAAATGTGTATACCTGTATTATGTAGATCATGTATTACCCTTTAAGTTAATCCTATAGTCTTATGAACTTACTGTCTTTCCCGTACAGATAGGAGTTGACAGTGAGTGTGTGAAACAGAGTCCACATGCCACACGGGTAACCACGGAAATGTGTCTGACTGCCCTGACAGGAAACCCAGTGAACTGTCTCAGGCAGAAACGAATCAACAGTCTATGAAAGAAGAGCAGAAAAATCAACTAAAAAGTTTTTATGGGACTTTATATCCCTTGCATACAGAAAAATTTGTATCTTTGAAAAAACAACAACTTGGTTTACATATGAAGCATATAACAGAAGATGAAGGAGCCTTTGGCAAAGCATTTGATCAGATTGACCTGTAGTGATTCAATCATGTGTGACCAGTGGTAGCAGATAGACCTACCTGTAGTGATTCAATCATGTGTGACCAGTGGTAGCAGATAGACCTACCTGTAGAGATTCAATCATGTGTGAACAGTGGTATTGTTTTATGTGTGACTTTGCGATGTGTGAATGCTGTTATGTCTGGTTATCTTCATATCCATGTGTCTTTTATGGGACATTTATATCCCTTGCATATGTGTGAAAAATTTAGAGATTCAATCATGTGTGAACAAAAAACAACAATATGTGTGACCAGTTACACACTGTAGAGATTCAATCATGTGTGAACATTACATCAATCATGTGTGACCAGTGGTAGCAGATAGACCTACCTGTAGAGATTCAATCATGTGTGAACAGTGGTAGCAGATAGACCTACCTGTAGTGATTCAATCATGTGTGATGACCAGTGTAACACATAGACCTACCTGTAGAGATTCGATCATGTGTGACCAGTGGTAGCAGATAGACCTACCTGTAGAGATTCAATCATGTGTGACCAGTGGTAGCAGATAGACCTACCTGTAGAGATTTAATAATGTGTGAACAGTGGTAGCTGATTGACCTACCTGTAGTGATTCAATCATGTGTGACCAGTGGTAGCAGATAGACCTACCTGTAGAGATTCAATCATGTGTGAACAGTGGTAGCAGATAGACCTACCTGTAGAGATTCAATCATGTGTGACCAGTGGTAGCAGATAGACCTACCTGTAGAGCAGATAGACCTACCTGTAGTGATTCAATCATGTGTGATGACCAGTGTAACACATAGACCTACCTGTAGAGATTCGATCATGTGTGACCAGTGGTAGCAGATAGACCTACCTGTAGAGATTCAATCATGTGTGAACAGTGGTAGCAGATAGACCTACCTGTAGAGATTCAATCATGTGTGACCAGTGGTAGCAGACAGACCTACCTGTAGAGATTCAATCATGTGTGACCAGTGGTAGCTTGTTATGTCGGGTACCCCTTCCAGCCAACTGGACAGCTTCCTCAGAAAACTACTCACCTCCTCCCGGCCTGGAAAATACTAAAAATAGAAAAGTGTAAATTTTACTAACTTCTTCTAGCAACTGTACTTTTTCAAAAAAATCTACCTTGTATTAAAAAGAATGGAAGTATAAATGAAAGTAAATTTAGACTACCAAGGCTTAATTGATGCTTTGTAGTACAGGATTTGAGAATATTCTGTTCTTTTACTTATGAGGAATTAAAATTATGATTATTATATGTCTTACTTTAGCAAGAATGCGAACAAAATGCTGGAGAGCTTTTAGATCCTCCCCCTGAATGTCTTTGTGGATGGCCACCTCATGCCTCAAACAGTAGGTCAAGGCTGACTCCAAGTCCTGCATGTGGACAGCATACCTAATGGGATATCAAAAAATAGCTTACAAATACATGTACAAAGTTTGTGTTTTGATGCTTCTTTACAAATACATCGCCGGTGGCCAGATACAGTTGGTAGAGCAAGTTTGTGTTTTGATGCATTTTCTTCTCCCGTTACATTTGGTTGACCAGGATGATTGGGGTCTTTGGAGGGCCAAAGACCAGATGTCGCCGGTAAATTTACTCCTCTGAAATGACAATTAGATTTACTTGAAATTTTTTATATATATACAAACTAACTTTTCAGGGCTTTTTTCTTTTATAGTCATGTCTTGGACATTCTTTTCCTGATTTTTGGGTTGAAGAACATCAACTTCCTGTTGCACATGCTCAAAGTGTGGCAGTGGTTGCTGGTTCCCACTCTCTGGTTTCTCTGCAGAGATGAGGGCTGTCAATGCACTCACAAAGGAGGCTCTGTCTGTATAACCTCTGAAAACAAGAGATAAACATTACATGAAACTTGTAAAAACATGCCAGAAATGTGACTGGGATTGGGCATCAGAATAAGCGTATTTTAGCCCTATTCCTACAACAAGGCAAAGTAAATACATACAGTACTATCCAAGTATTATACTAATTTAAAAAACAGTCTTAACAAACAGAGCTCTTACTTTGCAAGCTGCTTAAAACCATGAGGTTCAAACAAATACAGAGATGGAAAGGCTTTGATGCCAAACTTTTTGGTGCTCTGGGCATCCATTCTAAGAACTAGGATGTTAGAATTCAGGCTCAGATCCAACATTACCTACAAGACAATAATGATTTGGTTATAAATGAAAGGATATTGACAATTACAGAATAAAAGGAAAAAAGACAAGTAAAATACTGTTCACGTACATAAATTGAAATATTCAAAATTTAGTGCAATTACTAGGTATTGTCTATTGAGTTGTTGGCATATTGACGAATTAGCACTATACACATTTACTATCTTACTTGTCTCCCCAGATATGATGCCTCCTCCTCAAAGATGAGGGCCACAAGCTTGTGCTCCCGCCTCGCCGACTGCCAAATGTTTTCTATATGTCTGTAAGAATTTCATAAAAAAAGATGTTGATGATATTGACCCGCTGGTTTGAGGAGAGTTAAAATAAAAATTTCGCTTGAACATAGCTTATATGAAATATATAAACATGGTTCCTTTGACCTCTGCAACCACGAGCAGCCCTGCCATTGGTTCATTGATGGGCTGCTCCTGTCGTCTCACCTGAGGGGTAGCAGGTAGGGACATCCTCGTGATCTCCTGTTCACTATGGTCACTCACCTGAGAGGTAGCAGGTAGGGACATCCTCGTGGTCTCCTGTTCACTATGGTCACTCACCTGAGGGGTAGCAGGTAGGGACATCCTCGTGGTCTCCTGTTCACTATGGTCACTCACCTGAGGGGTAGCAGGTAGGGACATCCTAGTGATCTCCTGTTCACTATGGTCACTCACCTGAGGGGTAGCAGGTAGGGACATCCTCGTGGTCTCCTGTTCACTATGGTCACTCCCCTGAGGGGTAACAGGTATGGACATCCTTGTGGTCTCCTGTTCACTATGGTCACTCACCTGAGGGGTAACAGGTAGGGACATCCTCGTGGTCTCCTGTTCACTATGGTCACTCACCTGAGGGGTAGCAGGTAGGGACATCCTCGTGGTCTCCTGTTCACTATGGTCAGATTGGTCAGGTAATCAATCATCATGGTCTCTATCTCTGATTGGTCAATGCTGTAATAGTCCAGCCCAAGATCCTCATGACCGGCTCCTGGAGGAATCAACTGAAATATAGAGGGGGGATAAGTATAGGTTTACAAATCCACAAATGGCCAGTCCTAGATTCAAAATCTTTTAAAATTAGAAAAATCTCCATATGACACAAATGAGAGAGAGAGAGAGAGAGAGAGAGAGAGAGAGAGAGAGAGAGAGAGAGTCTTTAATTTATATAGTTGTGCAACTGTAAATTATTACAAGAAATAAACTGAAAATCATTCATTCCTCATTTTTGATAATATTACTTTAACCTTAAATTACAGTTCTGTTGGTTAAAAATATGAAACTCCTATTTTTCACTATAATAATTTCATAAAACAAAAAGATAGGAACAAATTGAGATATCATTACACTCCTATAACATGTTATCTATTCATTTAAAATATTGCAATAAATTCTCTAAGCAGCTGCTACTCCGATAGCTCTTTGGTGTCACTTGATCTGTAGAGACTATGTAAATTATTGAAATAAAATCAGGAAGTACCACATAGACAGTTAAAAATGGACAAATATATTAACACACTTAGATAAATCTCTGATATTTATAAAATGTGTTATCACAATATGCATTGACAAAAAGAACCAGGGTATAAAATGTTGGTCTTGCACCATCACCTCAAGTCAGTTTTGTCAGACCAATTGAGATGATATTGCTAAACCAGCTGACAATTTTTATCAGAGGATGAAAATATCTCAGATTCCCTGTAAATAATCCTACCTAAGGCCACTACTGAACTTTTCACTGCTTCAATTGACAGCCCCATAAGCATATCAATATATCATTCAGAAAATTACTGAAATATCAGAGAAACAGATTGACTTGAATTGATGTGGCATTTCATCTGATATTAAATAATCCTTATTGTTTTGTAAGTTAGGTTTTATTCTGCCAATATGAAGTTTTTATGTTAATTTAAAGTGTAATTTTGTGCAACATACATATTGAAACTAAAAAAAATCTTGAATGTTTTTTTCTCTCAAAACTAACACCCTGAATTATTAACCAATCATTTCTGTTTTTTACAGTAAAGAACTGAATCCTTGATTGATGAATGAACATAAACATATACCGGTATTATAATACTATCAAAGACAAGAAGTCTTTGACCTTGTAGTGAGTACATATAGCTTGGTTTATATTTTTCACTAACCTTTAAAGTGGGAAAGCCCTTCACCTCATAGTGAGTACATATAGCCTGATTCATACGTTTTTCCCTTACCTTTAGAGTGGGGAAGCCCTTCATTTCATAATGCGTACATATAGCCTGGTTCATACGTTTTTCCCTTACTTTTAGAGTGGGGAAGCCCTTCACTTCATAGTGCATACATATAGCCTGGTTCATGTGTTTTTCCCTTACCTTCAGAGTGGGGAAGCCCTTCACCTCATAGTGCGTACATATAGCCTGGTTTTTAACATCTGAGCAATCAATGGCTGCTACTCCAATAGCCCCCTGCCATCCTTCAAATAAAAATTAAAATATATCGTAGGGAGAGAGTAAAAATTCAGGCCAAAAATAGTCTTCTATATAAAAATTTATTTAGAAAATAGTTTTGCAATGTCCAGAAATTAATCTGAAAGTATATAAACATTTTGTTTCTTTTACAGAGAACAATGTCTAAAGGGGTCAGTTTTGGTCAGTTTTTTGGCATAAACATCAAAACTCAGTCAAATAAATTATTATTTTAACTTTGGGCCCTTCTCCAAGAAAACAGTCAGCACAACCTGTGTTTATAGCCCTCCTGGGCCTTAAAATGAAACCATAAAAAATGTTGCCTCTTTATACATGCACTGCCATTTTGGGTGGCATGACAACAGGCAACATTTTCAATGGTCTCAATATAAGGTCCATGGGGGCCATTGACAATGATCGTGTGAACTGCTGTAGATTAGTGAAAAAAATGTGTTTACAATCTATACTGAGGTGAAGAGATTTTTTCTTGAGAAACGTGCACATTATTTTGTGCAAAATACTTATGGACCTTTTTAGCTCCCCTGAGCCAAAGGTTCAAGTGAGCTTTTCTGATGACATTTTGTCCGTCATCCATCTAGCTGTCTAGCTGTCTGTCCGTCTGTAAACTTTTCACATTTTCGACTTCTTCTCAAGAACCACTGGGCCAATTTTAACTAAACTTGGTACAAAGCATCCTTGGATGAAGGGGAGTTAAAATTGTTAAAATGAAGAGCCAAGTCCCTTCACAAGGGGAGATAATCACGAAAAGACAAAAATAGGGTGGGGTCATTAAAAAATCTTCTCTTCTCCAGAACCACTGGGCCAGAAAAGCTGAAACTTATGTGGAAGCATCCCAGGGTAGTGTAAATTCTAAATTGTAAAAATCATGACCCCTGGGGGCAGGGCGGGGCCACAATAGGGAATCCAAGTTTTACATAGAAATAAATAGGAAAAATCTTTAAAAAATCTTCTTCTCAAGAACCACTGGGCCATAAAAGCTTAAACTTCTGCGAATGCATCCTGGGGTAGTGTAGATTTTAAATTGTCAAAATTATGACCCGTGGGGTAGGGTGGGGTCACAATATGTATTACTAGGGGGGAAATCAGGTAAAGAACAGCATGGTCAAAGCTACTCAGGTGAGCGATGTGGCCCATGGGCCTCTTGTTTAATCAATGGATCAGAAGTTCTCTCCTCCTCCATCTTTCTTTTTCAGACTATAAACATTAAGTTACAGACCTACACTACCAGGGATACAGAAAGTTTCTGTAAGTACATAAGTACACATTAATATTCTATAGGTGGATTAAGTAAAGTTCAAAGTCTCATTAATCAGACACAGTGGGTTTGTGATGAATCTTTTACAGAAAAATTTAAAGTAATTGATAAGGATCTGAGTTTTTGTTTTATTAACAAGTTTTTAAAATGAGAGATTTTTTCAATGTTTATATATCCCAGAAAAAAGAAATTTCTGTGTTGAAAAACAAAGAGTAAGATCATATAGTATATGAAGAGAATTACCTTGAACTCCTTTTACATGTATGCACATATGTATATAATAAATAAATTTTAATATTTTAAAAGCTGATGAACTTATATCCTCACAAAAAATACAAAAGGTACTAGGGCAAAAATGTGACTTCACTCTGAGGTATTTTGAGTTAAAAAATGTTCATCTTTTCCCCAACACTGAGAAAAACGGCTATGGGTAATGTAAGTATTAAAAAGCTTACATGAGCCTCTGGCCCAAATGAGCTGTCAAAGGCATTCATTCATTGATGATATATGACTGCTTTAATAATTAACTTTCAATCACAATATGCAGATAAGGGTTTACCATTTATTTGGCTTCTAAGAAAATTTATTCCATTTTGTACTGGAATGCTAACTTGAACTTTTACTGTTATAAATGTGTATTCAGTCAACATTCAATGCATTTATTAGTTCATTTCATGTTTGCTCCCAGGAAATGCTTGCAAATCCATTATCCTACCATAGATCACATGTATATGTAACCAAAAACATAAACCGGTATGTGAAACAAGGTATTTAGAGATATTAAAGCTGATTCCAATAGCATCATACAAACAGGATCACATATGTTGTTTTATGTCATGGAACCATTAAATACTGACAGCTTAGTTTTGAAGTGCAGTGTGCTGATCAATACAGTGCAGAATTAGGGGCACCTGCTTCTACACTAGGATATATTGTATCTGCTTAGTCTCTGTAAAACATGATTCACTACAGATAAGTACATCATGAGAAAGGACAGATGGCCACAGCATTCATCTTTACAGCCTTACACCATCTTTAATTAATCCCTCCTAGACTTGGGTCATATCTATTAATTTATCATTCATGCTGTATCATTTATTAGATTGATGCAAAATATGTGTACAGTTAAGTGACATTCAACCCACACTAACCAAATTACACACAAACATCTTCAAGTGTCATCAAAGATTGTTTACTTTTATCGTTTATGTAAGATATTTTCTTTTCTATGCACATATGGCAAATTTTGAACTTTTGTTCATAAAGTTTTAAAAGAGCCCCTATGTTTTTTTTTCCATTGGCTAGAAAATTAAATTTTGTACAGTTAATTGAAACACAGTCAGATTTTTGTGCAACACAAGGTGTGTTTATGGAAAAAATCACTATTACTAGTCCTTTGATAAAAATCTATAATAACTTATTGATATGCAAAAAAGCTTTTAAGCTGATTTATTTAATGTTGGGAAAGACTTTCAATCTCCTTTAGAAATTTTAGTAGTAATTATACAGTTTCAGATTTTTGTAAGCAACACAAGTGTGTGTTTAATTTGTTTATAAAGAGAAAAATCACTATTACTGATTAAATCAAAGTTGATAATAATGATCAATTGATTTTGAAGGAATTTATTTTTTGAATTTTATAATATAAAAATCTGAAATAATAATCTTACAACAATTTAGTGATGCAATATTGATATGTAATATCAAAATGTCGTAAGTCGAAAATCTTTTTTTGCTAATTTGGAATTGCAATAGAATACATGTTATGTCAAAACGTCATGTCTCTAGGCCAATTTATTTAATGTATGTCCATTGGATACAGACTTGGGCAATGACAAGGATGTCACTTGCCGTCTGATATCAAGGTTAAAATTATGATTTTAGTTAAATCTTTTATAATTTTTATTAAAAAATGTGTTCAACATACACAACAAAGTAAATTTATTTAATAAACAGAGTAATTAATGGAAAAATTGATGAAAAGTTAGATTAAGGTTATTTTAGTAGTTTGTAACTGCAATCATGTTATTCATATAATACATTTCATTTATTGACATCAATATGAAGGTACATGTATATAATTAAAAAACACTCTAAGTATTTTAAACAACACATCAATCATTACTCATTAGCATGCAAAGTGTGAAACACATAATGAAAGGCACAGCTAGTGCACTTTTACATAGTATAGATCAATAATTGCAAAAAAATCTTCACATCAAAATGTCTTGCATATGAGGACATAAATAAATTGGAATCCTTTTTCATTCAAACAATTTTGTTTACATAGGCAAAACTCTTTGGGATAAAATAATGGAATATTTAAAAGCATAAAATTTACAACAGTTTAAGAGGAGTAGATTTTAATTCTGGCCTTGGAATGTTGCACATCTACATATTGTGTCCTAAATCTGCAAAGTTTATGATTGACAAAATCCAAGTTGATAATAATGATCAATTGTGTCCTAAATATTTGCAAAAGGAATTTTGCAGCAGTTTTTTGACAAACTTTCATCCAAGGTATGGCCAAAAACATTTTTTCCGGAAAAAATAAAGGAACCGGAATTTTGGTAATATGCACATCTGAAATAATAATCTTACACCCCTATATAAAAGGTTCTGTTACAATTTATTGAATGATGCAATGCACATTACACATTGTGTCCTAAATACCGGTATATATCTGCAAAGTTTGACGAAATTCTGTGCAGCGGTTTATGAGGAGTTGCGCTGTATCGGAATTTCCTGGTAATATGCACATCTACACATTGTGTCCTAAATACCTGCAAAGTTTGACGAAATTCTGTGCAGCGGTTTATAAGGCCACATCATTTCAATTTCTTGTTTGGCAGACATCCGATGAAAAAAAAAGTATGAGCAGGTGAGCTTTTAAATAATCATAAAATATTCCTGTTTTGTATGCAGAACATGAAAAAATTTGATTAGACAATTACAGAGTTGATTTTTTTAACACTTGTGAACCGAATTAAATACCGAACTCACAATTTATCAATAGGTGAATACATCTAGTATTCACCAACACTGATGAAAAGAAAACATCACTCCACATTTCGATACAGGACTTGCAAGATTTTCAAATGTACGAAATGAAAACAATCCACAGCCAGGAAAAATGTTTTCATCGGGTTGTACATTTTATAAACAAATCATGCAAAATGATGTTGATGAGTACTAAAATTATTGTACTATTGATAAATTGTACAGGGAGCTATTTTGTCATGTTTTATATCTCAGTTCGCAAGTTTAAAAAATCAAAACACGAAATTTATGCCAAAGTCTCTTTTTAGACAAAATATAAAATAATGAAAAAAAAAATTAAAACCAGGTCAGTACTTTATTTAATTTTTTTCTCTGAATATCTATCACAAATCAAGTCCTGTTTTCATGTTTTCCTAATGGCGCTGGTTCTGACATTTTCCTGACAAATGAAATATCAAAATTGAAAGAAAAACAGCCAAGAAAATGTCAGATATTTAGGACTAAGAATCACTCTAACTTTTTCCAACTTTTACTAGATATAAACTGATATTTTAACATGAAACCAATATTTCATTGCTTGAATACTACTTGATGTACAGTATTTCACTGCATATTTACATTAGTGTACTAGGAACAACACCACTTAACCACACACCTACCTTTCGTATCTGTGGCGAGCTTTTTATATGTTGGAGCAAAGTTGATACAATGTCCACACCAGGAGTTATAAAACTCAACATTCCAGGCAAAATTTGAGCCCAATATAGTTTGGTAGAATGTGGCATTGTCTAAACCGATCACGTCATCTGTCGAGTTGTACAATAAGGATAAAGATGGCGAAATCAGACAGAGAAGTGTATATATGGAGAGACAAAACATTGAAGTTGACATTTTGCAGTCTTCATACTGCGTCAAAACAGCTGTCAGTAAAAAGGAAACGAACACATAACGAGAAACCTGTCACCAGATTGAGTGCCGCTGTCTGACAAACCATCTGCTCACTTTTCTCGCCTCCGCAGTCAGGAGAGCGAATATAATGAAAATTGTTAATTCGAACAACACAGTATTCGTATAAAAATACCAAGTGGTAGATCATTAAGAAACACAGTAAAATATTTTTTGGGTTGATTCTAAAAAGAAGAATTTTTTCAAATGCTGTTTTGAAATCTGAAAGACTACAGTAATTCACTCAAAATCACTTGACTTTCTCTACATGAATTGATATTTTCACAGTTCATCTTCTTGTCGCCCGCGTGGCGAAGTGGTTAGAGCGTCTGCTCTTGAGTTGCAAAGTAAGGAGTTGATCCTTTCGTCGCGGCTTCAAATCCCACTGTGGGACGTGGAGACCGGTCCTTCGGGTGAGACCGTATAAACCGAGGTCCGGTGTCGCAGTAGGTGCTGGCACGAAAAAGATCCCTCCCTGCTCAATGGCCCTGAGTGCCGTGTATATGACAAAATTTGCAGCTCCCCACCGGCAAGTGCGTCTTCGTATGAGTGAAATATTCTCGAGAGGGACATTAAACAATATACAATCAATCAATCATCTTCTATTCCAGTACAGTGCAGGGCCTTTTGGACATCATCGCCCTTTACTAAAATAGGACTGACGAAGGCGCAGTGGAGAACCCTCTATTTACAATTAAAAAACTGGATAAAACACTACTGTCACCTAATGTTTACCATCTTTTCCCAGCCCCGACTTGAATAAGTCAAGGGATTGGGTTTCTGTGACACTAGATGGTAAAGTGTTTCACAGACGGATCCCAGATTGAAAGAAGGAACATTTGTCGGTGTCTGTTTTAGCAAAAAGAATTAGCAGTCTTTGTTGATGGCCTCTAGTAGCTGCAATAGTGGGATGTTAAAAAGGTGAGAATGGAATGACTACTAGAGAATGCAAGATCTTTTACATCAACACTGCTTTGGCGGCTTGTCTACGATGTTACAGTGCATGGTTCCCATTCCAACTGCTAAATCGTGTAGGTGACACTGTATGCTGGTGTCTGCTAGTCAGCCAGAACATATTGTGACCGTGTAAAATGAACATATTTTTGGGTAACAATAATTTCCTTTTGATAGTGCTTAATTTAACATAATTGTACACTTGTTGTTCTGAGTGAACATGTTAATTATTATCCAATTAATTTAATTATGTCAGTTATGTCCATCTACTTAGTACTTAAAGTAACTCTTCATTTTAATTGTTTATTTCATTTGTGGTTTCATACATGACCATTGATGTGTAGCGACATCTCCTCGGTCGTTAAAATAAATTATTCAGAGGACTTGTGTAATTCTACCGGTTATAATATCTTACACTTTCAAGCTTGTTGATATTGTTCTGGGTATAGGGGTCCCACAAAGTACTGTAGTGGATGTGTAGCACATCTTCTTTGGAGACCTGCTCTATATGGGGATTCCAGCTTAGATTGTTAGTAGTGCTTACACCCAGGTTGTGTTCTTTTTACTGTGAACAATGCATAGAACATGCCTCTCCTCCCGAAAATTCCAGTGGTGGGAGAAAGTCTATAGTAGGAGTTGATACTGCCTTTTGATCGGTCACATATTCGCCGTGAACCCTAGCTACTAATATGTCTGTTGATAAAATACTCAGATTATTCCGTAGTCAAACTTGTTCTAAAAGTTATATTTAAAGGCCTAGCAAGTGACACAGGGCGGGGCTTGAGGCGAAGCGATATACTGTATCCAATATAGGTTATATGTGACATGACCTTTCTAATGAAAAAATTTACATTCATATTTGGGTACATGTCAACCAATCGGATGATTTTAGCAGAAAATTGATTTAGTAACATTTAAGCATTCGCAAGTGAAATGCCGAGAGAGGTGGACATGCAGGTATTCATCATTTTAAAATAATTATTTAGGGGATGCATTATATAATTTGTTTTCCAAAAAAATAAATTTAAATTTGATTGCGTAGGTTTTTTTTTCTCTATTCAGCTGTTGCCGACTTTGTTTTTTAAATTTAAGCTACGATTTAATCCAAAACATTTAAATATATAAGAATCATGTGGGAATGTTTTTGAAACAAAAATACTTCTGCGAAACTGTATTCTGAGAAAAAAGTCGACATTGTCCTACACCTGTCGTATTATTTAAAAAATGAAATAAACAGATGAAATGAAAGCGGGGGGGGGGGGGGGGATTTTACCTTCATGTTTTTAATAAAATGTTAACATGTATTAGAGCACTCACTGGTACCCCCACTCAACCCTCCTGTGAGTTTTTGTTTTCTTTTTCGCTTTCGTATATGATTTTTGCTAAACTTGTATACATACGCTTATTAATTTATCAACAAGAAACGATAACACTACATAGTGTCTTGGTTGGCTATAAATCTACCCCCCTCACCGTGTATAATATACGAGTTTCCATTTATTTTTTTTGGGGGGCGTAGTAATCATTTGTGAACTGTCCCACTCCCTCCTTTCTAAAATTTTTGAATTCGACACTAATAACTACGTTGTAAAATTTTATTCTTAATTCACCTCAAATTTTGAGTAAATACTAACAGTGCTTTCATGGAAATTGAACGATTCATGGCTAAAAATAAACCGTACTGTATCGTTGATATTTTGCAGATACAGTACAGTTTCTGCTCATTTGCATAAGAAACGCCCACAAAAAGTGTTCTGTATCGCAGTTACAGTACGCTTGACTTCAAAGGAAAACTCGCCGGGTCATGTCACAACAATGAGATGAAAAATCAGGGATGGACTTGGGGCATGCCACAATTGCAATGTTGAGACAAACAGAGATGGAGGTCCTCAGTGCAGGCCTTATATGTTCAAAGCACGAAGAGGACTAAGTAAGTTCGGATTAAAAATTGATCTGCCGACTAAATATGGGAATATTGCATATGATAACGCCAAAAAATGGCACTAACTTACAAGAAGCACTCTCTAAGACAAATGTCGCTCATCAACAAAATTGCTGTGATTAAAGTCATTCCAATTCTACACACAGGTACTCTGAAGTGGATATTCAAAGGATGCTTGTGTCCCTCATTGACAACATTAACGTAGTCTTCGGACACCAAGTCTTCCTTCAAACTGTTTGAATCCCAATAGACACTTATTAACCAAACTGTTTTTGTATTCCTATGAAGCAGAATTTCTTCTAAAAAGATCTAGAACTTCTATATACAAAGCACAGGTACTTTTTTCGGTTATTATTCTTTTACCCATAGTATAATAATAACACAAGTTATCAAACTCCGAGTCCCCGAATCGCACTCATTTACACTTTCAGAGGAAATACACTGACAATCTGTTTATACCTATGTCTTCTACGATAATTTATCTACATAACCGTGTAGATTAATATATATAAATTAAATAAAGACATGCATGCCATATATGGTTGTGTATATTAATCATAGTAGATTGATTGATTGTTTATTGTTTAACGTCGAGACATTCGAGAATTTTTCATCGTAGAAGACATAGGTATTTATAAACAGTTTGTCAGTGTATTTCAATGAGTACGGTTCTGGGGAGGGGGTACTCCGTGTAATACGGAGTTTGATACCTTGTGTTATTTATTTACTATGGGTTAAAAATTTATAAACGAAACACGTGCCTGTGATGCACAGAAAGAAACACTTGCCATGACCTTCAACTCGTCAACCAAATATATCGACGACTTTTTAATTCTTATCAATTTACAGAACGACTTGATTCATCCCAGTGAACTTGAAACAAAAGACGCCGCAGAGTTTGTCACGTCTGTTTATATTTGGATGTTATACTGACTAAAGAGGATAAGGGCCAGTGCAGTTAGACTTTTGCTCACGGCGGGTGTGTCCGGTCAAAGGGATGACAACACCTTCTTGTCACAAGATCTCACTTCTGGAAAAAGTGGAGAATTTTTTATATACGTTGGCACCAAGACCACAGCCAATGGAAAGTCCACCATAGACGTTGGAAATAGAATTGAAAATAGATATTCAAAACACATGTCACTGGATACCTCCTCTAAGGATCTGAATCCAGATCGGTGACAAACGACATCTGTGACTTAAAGACTAGATATCTTCGAAACAAGATGTCTCCCTAGAATACTCAAGATATTCTGGCCAAACAAGATCAGCAATAAACAAGAATACAAACAACTGCCACTTCCGACCAGATCAATCAGAACGTTATACATGTATACAAATTACCCTTAAGGGTAGCCTAAGATGGACTTCACCAGGAAAGCGAAACAGAGGACGACCAAAGGAGACATGGCAACGTTCAGTAGAAAAAGAAAAAATTAAAGATCACGCATGGACTTTTGGCATGGTACAGCAAATATGAGCGGGCAGACATCGATGGAAATCCTTTGGTTGCAAGCCTAATGTACTCAAAGCACGAAGAAAACAAAGTAAGTATGTTTGTTGTTGAGAAGTTAAAATGTACTCATTCCTATCTAGATCTACATCCTTTTTTCTGGTTTCACCCTTACCCTTTGCATGTAACTTGAAGGAAAAACTGTGACAGAACATTAGGTGGAGGTTTATAGAAGGCTAGTTTTTTCCTCTTTTACACTGGTAGCAATTCAAAACTGTGATTTTAGCTAGGGACTGAAACGGAATGCTTTACTTTTGGAAAAAAAACTAGCTTGAAATAAGGCAGAAAATGTGTGCTATTTGTAAATTTAGCCATAAACAGACATATATTGGTGTTAATGAATTCCAGTTTATCAGTGTGGGTATTGTTGCTAGCTAAAATACCCGTAATTAAAATGTCTTTGATTACCATACCGGTAACTTCCATCTGATGAATGGAGTTACCGATTTGCTTTCGGTTCCTGATTACACTGGCTTTCTATCTGATCTCGATATTAAAATATTTTTTAAAAAATATATAAAGATAACAGGCTGAACTGTAATTATTAGTACATTGTTTCTGTACCCTATAAATAACTGGTTTAGACAGTTCGAAAAAAAATCATTGTTCAAAAACAGTATCTTTAAAGCTTTTATTTAAAGATGGATTCCATCTGAGATGAACATGATAAATACGTTTGTTTAATGATAAACATTTTTTTCTCAAAACTGTTTACCTTCAAACTACCCTCTTACGTACTAATGTCGGTAATGCGATGAAAGATTATGCATAAAAGTTTATAGTTATCACAGTACTAAGTTGTTGCCGACAAATCACAGCAACAATTAAAATGTAGTCACACACTCTCATAACAAAACACTCCTACAACACGAGTCACGACTCACTCTAATGCGTCAAACATTGCCATATATACTTTGACTTACATTAACAAGTTAAATTGTCATGACAAAACATTCACAAAACACCACCACATTCGTTGATTTGACCCTGTAAGGTATGGTTTGTATATTTCATAGTTGAGGTGGTCTTTTGAGATTATCATAATATATAGACACAGTGAAAATTTCCTGATTAACTTATCAGTCATACACTGTGTTCACTCCCTCCAACTCAAAGACCAACACACACAGAACAAATGCACGCTTGATCCAGAAGTCATACTTCCAAGGATCACCTCGGTTCTGTTACACCTTCTTCTGAACGTTGCGACGCATGTGTACTTCGGATATTTTTTTGCAGAGGTAATATTTCCATATCATTATTCCACACACATTTCACAATGGATTATCTGAGATTTATCGTGTAATTTCCACTTAATATTTCGAATTATCTGTCATTTAATTGGAGGGAAACGTCTGTGTATATACCGGGACATTCCATTTGTTTGCTATATGACCTACACACGCTCATCAACAAGGTCAGGGTCAAGTACACTGAATATGGCTTCCTCGTAGGCTTTGAATTCGATATAGTCTGCTTCTTTTTCTAGAAGCGTTTCCACACTCTTGCTGATTTCATTAAAGGACGGACGATTCTGCGGCATCATGTCCCAGCATCGCACCATAAGTGCGTACCTGAAAGAAAACACAGAGACAACTAAAGGTTAGAGCAAAGAAAAATTACCCTTGAGAACTTTTAAGACGACAGGTATGTTTAAAAAAATTTTTTAAAATCAGTTAAAAAATATAGCCACGACTTCAATGTAAGTAGACTCAAGATAATATATGTTAAAAAAATTTTCACTTACAATTCTGGTTTACAGTGTAGAGGACGAGAGAGCCATTTTCCCATCATCACCGTGGAGATGACCTCTCTGGCCGCCATACCAGGATACGGAGTGGCACCTGTGATGTAAAAATCATGTTTAGTAAGCCTCAACTCAAGTAAAACGTTTGGTGTTTTTTTTAACAAAATGAAGAAAAAATTGCTAATCTTTCCTAGATCTCTATAGTTTAGCGTTGCGGATTTTGTATATAACTTTTTCTTTTGGAATAGTATCTCGTATTTTGCTCTCATTGCCATAACTCAGTAACCCAGAACCCAAATAAGTGACAATAAGGACAAGAGAACCTGGATGTAGACAAGCGATGCCTTACCGAGAGTGACGATCTCCCAGAGAAGAACTCCATACGACCAAACGTCACTCTTCCTGGTGAAGCACTGATCAGACAGCGACTCTGGCGCCATCCAGCGGATTGGCTGAGGACCCTAAACGGTACACAAGTTTGTTTTACTGTATTGTTATTTGATTTGTCATGTTAAGTTCTTCGAATCGAATATCAATTGACAAAGATTGATTTATAATACAATCTCTCAGCTATGGAGAATACAACTTTTAAAAGAATTCATATAAACCGAAATGAAACAATTTTTTAAAAATCAGGTGGACATTAAATACTTTGCTATAATTGAGGGACAGTTTTTAAAGTTTTGTCTCTTAATTCGCATAAAAAAGATGATTTTCCTGGGTTACCTTGGAGGATCTCTCGTAAACTTCCTCCCCCTCCACATTCCTTGCCAGACCAAAGTCACAGATCTTACACACCCTCTTCCGGTCGATCAGAATATTACGGGCAGCAAGGTCACGGTGTATTACCTGTTCAGGGTGACAAGTCAATGTCATAAACATATATAGGTATTAAGGAAGATAACTACCTTCCACATAGCAATATCTTTGGGAAAGAATCGTTTTTATAAGCTGTTAAAATTGTTTTTTTTTAAATATAAATAATATTTTAAATTGTCTTAATATTTAAATTGGAAATAAGTGAATAAATTCGGGTTAAATACGTGTATTACGTACATTTAGTGAAGATAGGTGCTCCATGCCCTTGGAGATTTGGAGGGCGTAGCTGTTGAGGTCTTTGGCTGTGGGGGGCACCAGTTCCTCACTGTTTGTAGCCTGCTGGGAAGGACGGAACTTTCTCAGGTACTGCTGCATGTTACCTCCCGGAACGTACTCCATAATGATGTACATTGGATCTGCAATTGAACAGAGAATTATTGTCTACATGATTAATATTTAAAAAATATCAGTTGAAGAAGTGTTTGGAAAATACTGAAACATTTTTCAGTGTATGCAGAATAGTGAGAATACCTAGTATATTACATTCAAGATTTTTGGTACAGTGTATGTGCAGAATACCCTAGATAGAATATTCTATCATTAAAATGATAAATGTCCTACAGACCCGGTTTAAGGAGAGGTGAGGGCTTGTCCCGAGACACAGTTAAATTATTCTAACTAAGAATATCCTATCCTTTTACTACGATATAATATACTTAATATATTCTGTTCAGATTATCATAGACATTCAGTGTACACGTATTAAGAATTGAATTAATTTTTGAAGCTAATAGACTTACCTTGCTGGGTACAGCAGCCGAGATAATCAACAACATTGGGGTGATGTGGAATCTTTCTCATTATTTCTAATTCCTGATACAGATCCTCCTTTTCTGCATCAATTGCACAATCTATTTACAAAAACAAGAAATACACCCTTCACTATCAGTATTTATTTGAAAGGAAAATCTTTTAGTATTGTTCTATCATTCCTATACTTCTCAGCTTACCACGAATGGTTTTAACTGCAACCATTTCCCAATCTGAATTTCCATTGATATTTAAAGCACGAGCCATCATGACCTTCCCAAAACGACCTTGACCTAAATCAATGCCGAGCTGCAGACGTTGCCTTGGAAACTCATCACTAGGAAGGACACATTTCTTCAGGTCCTCAAAGTAAGAGTTCTAAACAAAATCGCAACAATTTTAGAAAATTACTATAACCCAACAAATACTCCCAAGTTAAGCTGATCAGTAATATGGTCCTGGTATACCATTATTATCTTTACTTCACGGAAAATATGTACCTACGAGTGTAAATATTGTGCAAAGAAGGATTAAAGAGCACCTTACCAATTTTACTGTGCTCTCTCCACTGGACTGGTAGGCCACATTGTCCTGGAATATCTGTTTTGTAGACGCATTGTCCTTTTTGGAGAAAATGAAAGAAAAATTTATATTTGCAACGCATAGTTATGTAAAATGTAATTAACAATAATAATATGATGAAGACTTTCATCTTGTGATACTTGACACTGTATATTAGTTACTTCCCTATATATTGTATTTGATAATGACAGCAGTCTTGCTTTCAGGTCCAACAAATCATGCTACCTTCATTTAAATACAATTGATTGAAGCACCACTTTGATACAATAAAATTATTATATGCTTCTTAGCTTTATTAATAAATAAATAAATGTAGATGATCTTGATCTTACGGAGGATTCAAACTTTCTTCTTCTGAACCAGGCTAGTGTCAGTATGGACAAGATCAGAACCAGTAGGACAGCTGAGGCGGCCCCTATGATAATGTACAGGTCCGAGTCTTCTGTGTCGTCATTACTGTCTGAACCGGATAACCCAGATACAGCTGTAAAATTAAGGAAATATTTATTGCAAAACAAGTGAAGAATATAAAACCAGTATTCTTAATTCGTAAAGTCAAAATGAAGAAACAGGGAGACATATCTGTAAAAGGTAAAGCCATTTGTTAATGAGAGATTTTTGAAGAAATGAATCAATTAAAACTGACCCAGACATGCGTAGCTGTTTGACGTATCTATGACGTAACCGTCTCTACATGAACACTGGTAGGCACCGGCAGTGTTCAGACAAATGTCGGCACAGGGCTTCTTGTTTGGCAAGTTACACTCATCAATATCTGTAAAAATGGAAGTATTAAATTCTCACATATCTTGTAAACTATAACTCCACGTGTATTTAGTGTGCTATTTACAGAACAACTATAATCCGAAAAGACATCGTATAGCCTCGTTTTAGCAGTAATACTACCATTGCAGGTGCCGTTCTGGAACAAGTATCCAGACCCACAATCACAGCTGTAACCTCCCATCGTGTTGATACAGTTGGCTGGCCCACATATCTGGGGATCGTAACTACATTCATCGATATCTGCAATGTACCAAGAACAGGATAAGTTTTCATTCTTTTATATGACTGATTAAAGTCTTGCGGCAATTAGTCAGTTATATTGTTTTGCAAATGCTCAGTTACAATACACTAGAGAGTGAAAATTCATAATGTTGTGAATATTTCTTCTATAGAAAAAATCCTGTTCTGTTTCAAGTATATTATTAAAATAATATTGAAATAAATGATTTTTTTCTAATTTGATACTTTGTGTCTGACGTAAAAACAAAATACAACTATCACTTGAGAAAATTTTTGATAATCTTAGAATGAATATTGTGAAGTTAAGAATTATAATTAAATTGATCATTTAATTAAATCCTTGCCTTGAATCATTTGTACAGCGATTCCTTGACCATAAGAATTATACACTTTACATGTGTACACTCCAAAATCGGAGACTTCCACAGATTTGATGTTTAATACCATGTCCAGTTGATATTCATTATGGTAAACCACAAACTTGTTTAGTCTACAATGAATAGAAGATCAGGTGAATACGTAGGAAGCTTCAGTAAACACAGCCAAATAAAACACGAAACTAACATATTTCAAGGCATTTGTAAATGTACTTTCTCATAAAACATATTCATTAATATTTTTCAATTTATTATGTATAAACATTTCCAAATTGGGTAAGAAACTAATTCGTGATAGAAATATAGTTATCATGTAATTTGACTGTTCAATTGTAAATTATTTTAGGCATAATACCTTGAAGATGACGGCAGAATGGCGTCATCAAAATACCAAGTGAGTAATGTTGGGGTAGGGCTGCTCCACACGTGACAGGTCAAATTCTTGTTTTCTTCCACAGTGCCATTCATCATCGTGGTGTCCGCCGTCACAATAGGCCGACCTTTATTACAAAATATGAAATATTTGATAAACAAGGAAAATCGAAAACAAGTCATGTTAAACTCACTTGAGCCTAAAATATGACACAAGTCAAACAATCTTTAATAGAAAATATGAAAGATTTAAAGTAACCATGGAAAATCAAAGAATGGGACTAGTGATTTTATTAAAGATATGAACAAATCAGCCAAACATTTTTGTGGTAGTTTCTTACCTTGTACAGTTATATTAATATGATCGTGGTAGATTTTATCATGCAGGTCGATGCCACACATGTACGTTCCTGTGAAGTTGATGGTGAGACTGTCGGCCATGAGGTTAAAGAAGATCCCTGTTGCATTAAATATATAGTAGGATCTGAGACGGACATCCCCGACCATATACTCGTCCTCTGCTCTCAGGTGAACTTCACTGCCCGTGATACTACGGATCAACCACATCATCTGTAAGTTACAACGTTATATAGCTTTTTCAAGTGTTATCAAATGCAAGGATTTCTACAATGTGAAGCTAGTGTATCATTTGTAATAATATAAAGGGGTTTCTTCGTCATGCTCTACATCAACTATAAGATGCAATATTGTCTACAATATTTACTTTCATCTGTAAGAAGACACAGGGGTTTTAATAATTTTATCAGCTCTATTATATATTTGAAGAGATTTTTCTAACTTTAATTTTAAAACGATTTATCTTTAAATTACAAATATTTCTATCACATCAATGCTTTGAAATATTTATAAACTGATTAACATTTGTCGATTATCATGCAAATATATGTCCTCAAGATCTTCAGCTAGCCTAGCACTTATACATTAACTGTGTTACTGCCTTTTGCAGGACGCAAAAAAAAAGACATTGGATTTAAAAAAAAATATTATTATATGCCCAAAAAAGAGCAGTATCACATCGTCAAACGGTTATTATCAAAGTTTATTTTAATTTGTATTTAGGTTGAATATAAACATTTAAACTCCTTGCAGTTTTATGAAAAACACACACAACCAGAAGGAAACAAATTAAAATGGCACACCAAAACGGAAGGAAATAGTTGTAATAGAGAGTAAGTAGCAAAGCTTAATTTAATTGTTACTTTAAAATACTCATGGATGTTTTAAAATTTCATAAAACAATTTTCTACTCGAAACTGTTAAAAACAATACAACAAACTGTTAAATTTTATCAGTTTCTAAATTTACCCTTGCTCCATCAGCAAACTATGAATATAGAAAAAAGGTTTAATATCTTCCAATTCAAATCTAGGAAGATAAACATTTACCCCTAAATAGGAATTAAAGAAATTGTTTATAAACTAAGATTAATAATTACCATCGGTAGTTTATCGAATCCCTCTGCCTTGCAACATAGTTTGAGGGGTTGGCTGGCGTCCACGTTGATTTGAGACTGGGTGGGATAGATAAAATAGATCTTCTTGTCTGTAGTTATCTCAGCCATAGTTTTGTTTCTTCCAGCTGTAAGAATTTTGTTCAAAATGATATACAACATAAACAATTAACGTAACTTACTTTTAACTTGGATTAAAAATAAAGTATTGTAATGCCAAACGTTTATCAAGTTATCTTTTGATTTGTGTAATTTTCAGCTGTTATCACAGTAATGTAGAACCGAGAAAGAAAAGTAAAAAGAAAGAGGGAACAGTTCCACATTGTCTCATTAAAGAGTTAAGATCTACCTTTCACTTCTATGTTTCCTGTATCTGAACCATATGCATTTGTGACGACACACGTATAATTGCCCACGTCCTCTTCCTGGAGTTTTGAGATGTAAAGACAGAATTCTCCACCTATCGCATCATAGCGCTTCAAGTAAGTTTTGAATCTAAAAGTTAAGATTATCAAATATGTATATTACATTTTCAACTGTTTTCTCTTTGCTAACTTTTTAAAAGTTATGTTTGAAAGTATATTTTTGGGATCATCGATCATAAAAAAATTATGGTAAATGTTTCATTTCTGTACACAAATCTATATCTCTAACATATGAATTTAAATTTTCTTTTAACCTGTCGTTTGTGCCATTATGGAGGGGCTGGTCTCCTTTATACCACAGAGTTCTGCTGGCTTCAATATCGTCCTTGGAGTGGAAAGGGCACACTAATTTAAGGTCCCAGTTCAGCATTCCAGAGATCATGGACTCGAATAGGCCTACTTTTGGGGGACCTATGAATAGTAAAAGTAGTATAAATAAAACCATTTATGGTGACCCCAAAAAAGAAAAAAATCAATATATTCCTATATGCAAAGAGCAACAGGTATGAAATTCTCATTCTTAAAATCAATATTGTTGAAATGTTTATCATTTATGGGTAAAGAACATTAATATTCTATTACTATTTATATTTATGTGAGCATTATTTACCTCTAACGTAAACCACGACTTCGCCTCCTATTCTTCTGTACTTGTAGTAGGTATAACAAACGTACTTCCCCATGTCATGATAATCGATGTCGTTAACTGTGAGGTAAAACAGGTCGGTGACGTCATCACTAAATGAGGACCCCGTGGAGACTTCATATTTTTCACTATCCTCGGGATAAGGCGTAATCATGCTGGTGATCTGCTCTACCCCCCTCGCCCCGATTTTCTCCCAAAATACCTAAATTATGTCAAAATGTTTTTATTTCCTTTCATGTTAGAAAACAAATTAAAAGCTCATTTATATACCAGTACCCATTTGACATTTTAAGTTATAAACTCTATGCAATTCGAAAAGTTTAGGATTCACATTTCCCACTACGTCTAAAAATACCTGAATGGGTTCGTTTATGTTTTTGGTTCGACATCCTAACCGTAAGTCAGTTTTAGTATCCACGGGCACAACAACGAACTTGGGTGTGTGGTTGACCGGTGGGTCCACGGAAAAGGCCAACAACCGTGGGGCATCGGGGTTAGGAGGAGGAGGAGACTGACCCCTACGTTTTCCGATTACGTCACATGTAATTAGCACTACTGACAGGTAGAGTACTACAATGGAAATGGTCAAAGATATATACAATAGCATGAAATACATATCTATCAATACATGATTATATTCATTTTATAATAACAATTGATGGAATTCAGGTACAATATTTATTACCCCTGGCAATTTTAAGTGTATAATTCTCATTATAAGACCAATACTTTTATTTATATGGATAAAAAGGTAAGCTTAGGATTTGGTTTAACCAGTTGATTGTTTTTGTCTCTACTTTTATTAAAACTTTTTTTTTGGTTTTTCAGGATGCCGTATGTATGATTTGGTTCAAATGATGTTAACAATGAGCCAAAATCAGTACATACAGGCAAATAGAAGATACTTTATAGGCGGCAATAGTAAAAAGTGTGGGATGGTGTCATCCCTGATGACAGGCATACTTAGTTATAATAGTACATGTACTAGGTAAGTGTATTAATTAACATCAAAAATCAACATAATTAACATTTTGTAACTATTTAGATGAGTCTGTTAACATTTCATTACTTTATAGCCCCCCATTTATGACATTTATATACAATTGCCAAAATAATTCTTATATGATAATCAACTCCAGAGTTTTGCCTTTCGGATAATAAAAATATTTACATCTGTAATCGAGTCTATAGTAGATTCTTAGTGGCTGAGAGTGAAATTTTAAGCTGTCTTTAATCTGATTGTAAAAATACTGGGAATAGTTATAGTTGTAAAACTCTTTATTTATGCAAAGCTAGTGTTGCTTTTTATCCCCATTACTGACAAGAAGATACTGAGAATTTCCTTCTCCATTCTGTCCTGTCCTTGATTGTGAACAACTGAGTTTCAGTATTCACATTTTTGTCCCATTTCAACCAAAATTAAACCTCGTGTCTGAGGCAAAAAAGAGCTTTTTCGTATAGAAAAGTCTTTTGCATTTTAAGACATTTTGAGAGAAATAAAACGTGTTTACTGGTGTAATATTACATTCCGTGTGGTGTTTGTTTCTGTAAGTTTTTATGGCTTCATTTAATACACGTTTTGACGATATAAGAGAGCTACAGTTTTATTCTACGCAACTTTAGGAAGCATGGGTATCAATATGATAAATACCGTTCTGTTTTCTTTGAAAATTTTCCCTTTGAGGATGCATAAGGTTAAATTTCGAATCTCTTATTTTGACCAAACTCGAACCGAAAGCTAATAATTTTTTGAAACGTGATTCCACATGACAATTAGTATATATCCTTATGATGGACATTAATTTAACCAAATTTGAAAAGACTGCTTCCTTTATTAAATTATGTTCCCCAATTATACCTTCAACTTATTTCTGATGACCCTGATTTTGAATCCAGTTACCTGAGGATGTTTGTACCTCAATTTCACTAAAATTGAATTATAGCTGTTCATTGGAGAAAGGATTTCAAAGATTTTCCCTATATCTTCGTGCATAAAACTTTATGGACCTACTCTTACCAGGGCCATGAATTCAAGAAATATGATGTTAGAATTTGAATTAACACTACCACCTAATATGACATCTTAGCTCTACAGTAGCTTTTAGAGATTTTCAAGGAGTATTTTGCGATATTTGATTTCCTATTGTGACTCGCCCTACATTGTACCTTCGGAGGTCATGATTTGAACACCCTTGAATCTACACTACCTGAGGATGCTTTCATATTTCTATGTTTACTAGTTATCATAACGTTGCTGTTCTTGCATGAGAAAAGGGATTTTTTTTCAAAGATTTGTTCCTTATATATCCCCGTGTAAAACTTCACTGTTATTTTGCTCAATCCTACCTCTTTGGGTCATGATTTGTACAAATTTAAGACTAAACTACCTCAAGATGATTTCTCATTTATATAATCATGGCTCTGCAATTCTTGAGAAAAAGGTTTTCACTTAAAGTCCTAATTGTAAGTTTGATCCTCTGTTTGGTCTAACTGTACCGCGGTGAGTCAAACTTAGGTTTGATCCTGCATTGTGGTCCTAATCTACCTTTGGAGCTCTAGGTTTGAACAAATTTGAATCTACATCCTGCAATAAAAGTTTCACAGAAAGCATTGTCCTTCATTACAATTAAATTGAATTCCCTTAACACAATGATGGTGTTAAATTGGACAATAGTGAGTCTAGAGAAGATTTAAAAAGATTAAATTTCGAAACATTATATCATTTAGGGATACCCCTCCTACCTCATTAAAAACGACATTGTGAATTGCTTGAAAAATCCCAAGTTTTCAAAGTCTTTAGGAATTAATCGTTGTAGGATTGTTTTATTATTTAACATTTCTGACCTTGACCAACACTTTATGAATCACCAGTAATTACGCTATGCTCAATATAAAGAGGTCAGGGTCTTAATCTGATATGTGGTTTAACAAGAGATTATTAAGTAGAAACAACATGTTTAACAGCCTACAACTTCAGTTATTATAACCTTACTTGACCCTGCAGACTATTTAAATTAAAAATTATACTTTCATAAGAAGTAGATACCTATATCTGCTGACTGTAGCTAGGACTATTGGATACTGTCCTATCCACTTTAACATTACATATCTTGTGTGTGAAGTCTTCTTGAGAACAAAGAACGTAAAGCTAAAAAACTTCTACACGTTCAGTGGCCCATAGATAGTCTAAAAGAGTTACTTTATACATTTTGACATCATACATCAAGAAAAACAAAATTGCGGTAGATATAAATCAATCTTATTATTATGGGAGCATCTATATATCTAAAATGCTGAATGTACCCGTACTCTGTAAAAATATTCTAAAAGCATAGTTTCTTGAATGTATAAAGCACTTTTTATGCAGAGGATAAATATAAATAAATAAACAAGATGCATGTTAATGCAGCTTACATCCTATTAAGTGAGAAACTTAAGCCAAGTTATCAATAATCTAGACATAGTTTTAAGTGAAAAACAAATATAGCATTAAGAGTGAGGCATCAATAATCAGGCATTGATGTTTTTTTATCGACACTAGTTAAATATTAAAGCCTTAAGGAAAATTTTCAGTAGTTTTTTTTTTTACCTTCGGGGAAGGAATTCATATATTGAAATAACAAACCACATAGTTCATAAAAATTATTGTACTTTGACATATTTTAAACCGTACTCTCAATATTGCTCTTAATATTTATCTTAATCTATATAAATCGTCCAACACACACCTTTCTTTAACTCAACCCTGTATCATTGTTATATTGTTAAACCCATGTTCAAAAAGGCTTTAAACAAAGGATTAAACCCCTCCCCTCTTTCCCTTTCTGATTGATTGATAAAATGAAGGGGAGATAAGTTATTCGTTATTATTATTTTTTAGAAAAAGATATTTTTAGCTCTCTGTGATGAAAAGTTATGTACAGTTAATATGAAAGTTTTCATGGGTAGAACCTACCTTTAGCATATCGTTCAAATTCCATTTCAAAATAAGTCAAAAGTTTTAACACAGAATATCATTCCCAGGACACATAGAACACAATATTTTCACATAACGGATCATCTTGATCGCCTATCTAGCACTTAAACAACCCACATAGATAAGTATTGTGTGACCAAAATGTGAAATCTTAGGTCTTGCTGTCGGTTAAATTCACGAACTTTAGCATATCCAGCATGGTCCAAATATCACAGGCCGCAATCCTACAGATGCAGGCAATATTCATATTTGCTACATGACTAGGCCTTTATAAATTTTTATTCTTGATAATTTCACTTTTATAATTCCTTAACTTGTTGAGAAAACATACTGGTGGTCTTCAAATACTTTAACAATGCCTCAATCGATTTGGTTCCAGTGAATGAACAAATAGTTTAAAGCAACCTTCTCAACCAAAACAATTATTTGCAAGTAAGTTGTATCCGACGTCACAATGGATTTAAGATATATAATACGTACACACAAGTCGGTAAACTTTTAAATGAATTGCAATTATGGGTCAAATACTAATTTTTTTATGCAAACACACCACAGACTCGATGTAGGTAAAAGACAAAACTCGCACAAATAATTAAAAAGTATACTAGTGGCGTAGTGTTGAAGGTCAATTCACATTGACATTACGTTCCTATAATATCCTTGTTCAAAAAAGAAAACCTGCGTCTTAACTGTATGCTTCTGACAACCGCAAAAACATGAATTCAGTCATTAATTAGAATATGGGACATGTGTGGGCCCTGGGGTCAGCGCTTGACAATGTTTCTCACAGTCCTGTCATAATATATACATATTTATTTCACTGGTCAGCTGTATCCGAATTATGAAGTTATTAAATCCTCATAAATTCCACCAGGGTCTATTTGACCCTTACCTATTGCGTGGATTAATAAGCATTAATGGCTTCAGTCGATATATATATTGGCAGGTAATATCTTTTGTCATTTATAACCATAATCTATTTAAAAATAAATGATTTAAGTGCTAATAAAGTGTATTTTTATATAATTTCATGTTTTGTGGAATTATGCATGCTACGTGAAACGAACAAACCTATATATTTATGACGTGATGTATATCTTACTGCATAGTAGACGTAACTTCAAATTTAACTGATATCTTTATATTGATTAAAAAACAAAACAAAATATATAACATATAATATAATATTTAATATGTCAGATTATAAATAATATAAGCATTGCAGAAAAAAGACATCTACTCAACAGGTTCAACTACTGCGAGTGTCCCTCGTAATATAGAAGTACTATTTGGTAGTTAGAGAATTAACCCCAGATAAAAGAACAATGGTTGTTAAAGACAATAATAAAATCGATACATGTTTAATTAATTATTTTATTAATTGAAAAGAGATATTGGCAGGTACATATGGTCTAAATTATAAATAAAATTGCAAAAACACTTTACGTTCCGGTATTTCTAAATGTGCTAGGAATTAGGAAAATCGTGAAAAATAAATTTAATAAAAAACAGATTAAAACCAGCTATTGAATTGTAATCAGAGGCAGTATAAAGTCAAAACCAAGTACCTAGATAAATGCGCAATGTCGTCATCATTGCAATAAATTTTATTGGACTGGTTTCTTAATTCTAGGTTTTAATGCATGTACTATGAGATATACATTTGAACAGTACACTAAAAAAACCTAATATTAATGGTAAGAATTTTGTTTCACGACTTTTAAATATGTTGATTTAAATAAAAGTATTCCGGGTAAACTTCATGGTTCCCGTAACTTAGATATAAGATTATTAATGGTAGCAAGAGATTTGGATTATTCTTTCAAAAATTATCCGGTTTGTTACAATATATACTTTTACAATATAAGACGGAAAAGTGGGCTAGTACAATGCTCATTGAATTTGCACATTTAAAAGTTTAGTCAGGTTATTTTGTAAACAGTTTGTCAAAATCCTCCCGAATAAGTTGATTCAAAAGCCATCATTTACACAAGTCTCGCAATTAGACGTGTTATTATAAATCTAAAGCGAAACAATTTGCATAAAATGAGTGTTATATTTCTGTATTTTCTTCAGCACATTATTCTTATTTCAATTAAATGGTAGGGTTATCTGAATGTTTGGAAGTCTACATTTAGACACTGCAATTATTTAGATTTAATGTCTCTCTGATGCACTTTAATATTCCTAATTAAAGTCTTAGTTCTATAATCAGTTATTGTACATAACACAGAGCTGTCTGCTTTGTGATCAATAAGAGGACCTGGTTTGTTTAGATGTTGCTACAACACAACTTGAGCTTTTTGAAAGGAAATAGATTCAACTGAGAACTTCCAAAGAAGTTCCCAAGAAGTTTTGACTGTTTAGTCTTGACAAAAACTGAATAATTGATTATTTTACCCTCTGTAGCATTTCACCCTCTGAAGTATACTTTTTCCCTTTTCTATTTTTAAAGTTTAAAAAAGTTAACAGAGATAGGATGATCAATTCTGACTAGCAAACTATGTTTTATTTGTCTAGTCTAGTCTTTTGTCATCTTGTTAATTTTCATTGCAAAATCAAAATGGTTTGGGTTCAATTCTATATATAAAAACTGCAAATGAATACCACCATTAAAAAAAAATAGAACTATATATATATGTAACTCATGAAAGAAAAAAAAGCTAATTTATCATTAATGCTTATATCACTGACATACTAGTATATACTGTATGTCAATATTTTCAACGACTAAGATTAAAATCACAAGAATTTTAAAATAAAAATTGATAAAGCAATTAAACATTTTACCAACTACAAAAGCCATAAAAATGATTTTATAACTCTTTGTTTTTAAATTTTATAGTGAGCGAGAGTTGACGTTAATAATTTTTTCTCTCATTCAAATTTGACACTTTCCAAAAATATTTTTTTAGTGCTTCTAATTTGTCAATTATAAAGTGCAAAGTGTTACGGTGTCACGACTTACAGTTTTTGACACTTAACATGAAAAAAAAAATTCCCATGTTTTATATGAACGTTGAATCATTTTTTTTTTATTGTAGCAGGAGCTCTGTGTAATAATAAAGACTAGATACGTACTTCACCTCTGATGTTTTTATTGAGTATGAATATTTACAATTGTTTTATTAAATATACCATATATATATATATATATATATATATATATATATATATATATATATATATATATATATATATATATATATATATATATATATATATATTAGTTTCTGTGATTTTTTGGGGGGATTGCAGGAATCTTTTTAGTGAAACTTGTTTAAATGGGTACATTCACTACATTGATAACGGTATATATAGAGTTACAGCAGTCAAATACTTTTTTTCATTAACGAGTGTTGAGAGTCTGCGTAAATGCTGATGGAGTTTTCTTTAAATGTTTATAATGCAAAAATAATCATATTTGTGACAATGCCCTATCCACTTTTTGTGTAACTGGACCTAAATCTGTATGGAAATACTTAAACTGTGATTTATGAATTAGGACATGATTACTCAATCGCTGACAATGTAATTACTGAATGGAGAAAGTATCAAAGAAGGAAATGGGAAGTTTGATAACACGAGGAAGACTTATTCAATTATAAAAGATGTATAACAGACAAGATAAAGGTCCTCCCAATTTTAAAAGCCAAAAGAAATTTTATGAAAAATATCACGAATTGTAAAAACAGAACAATTAAAAGCGGACATAAATTCAGACGTGAATATTAAATCATTGGCGAATAGCAATCAACTCACATTAGAATACTGAACTTATAAATAAAACACAAAAAGGCTCATGACTTACATAAAAGCATTCCCTCATAGAATATCCTGGGATCAGGGTACTTATGTGAGACTCTGAGTCTCCTCTGCATGCCCCTGCATGACCTATTGATCCCTTCGGGAAAACCCTGGGTCCTACTGTAACACACTGTGTGTATTGTATTTACTCCTAGTTGTTGACCGAGCCTTAGTGGCCTGGATATCCGGGTTTGGGATTAACATGATTAATAGTGATGCTGTGAGAAGACAGTGTATGTAGCATTTAAATTTCAAAACAATTAAAAGATAATGAGCAGCATGCAGACATAAAATTGAAAGGTTAATTGCGAAAAAATATAGTTACTTAAAGGTGTGTCTACAAAGAAATAACATTTATCCAAACAATGCCAGCCCACACCTCAGAGTATAAGACATATAATTGTGTATTTTGCGTGACAAGAAGAAAAAAAACATTTCTAAAATTAAACAAGCAAATTCAAAGAATTGTGGTCCCCCGCTTTCGCTGTCTTTTTGGTGAGATGTCATTTTTTAATGAAACACGCCGTATCATAAGTCATCTATTTAGAAATTATCACTGAACTCCAAGGTCAAGGTCAAAGGGTTAACGTTCTAGGTATCCAATGAAAAGTCTTCTTAAAAGAATTACACAATTTATGTGAAGTATGAAAGCCCTAGCTTTTACCATTCAAAAGTTAGGTGTGTCTACAAAAATCTCCAAGGTCAAGTCAAAATAAGGTTGTTGGTTTCAAATAAAATTTATACATATGTGAAATATTGTGTTGGCCAAGGTCAAAGTTTTGAAAAGTTCATCAAGGGGCCGAATGAAATCACAAGAATTATACATATGAAAAATGAAAGCTGCCCTTACCATTAAAAGTGTCATATGAAATCTCCAAGTTCAAGGTCAAAAGGTCACAATAAAAGGTCTTGCTACAGAAAATACATGTGTGAAATATGAAAGTCCTAGTACCTACCATTCAAAAGTTATAGTAAAAGTTTGAAATATTTGTGTAAAATTTTGTCAAATTTGGTGACAAAGAAAGGTCTTGTCACAAGAAATACACATGTGAAAAAAAAGTCATAGCTCCCCTTAATCAAAATTGGGCAAGGTTAAAGTTTTTGTCAAATCGGACAGACAGACGGACAGACGGACAGAATATTCGCTTTGTAATGTTATTGTGAAACAATATTGATTAAGATTAAATTCAAGATTGTTAACTCGGAGAAATGTGAAAATATAAAATGCACAACTATATTTCATTTTTTATTTCTCAACTTAGCGTTCATTTAATGTTTAGTCGTGACTATATGTCGTTAATTTGTTTTATATTTGTCCTGATAGTGTCGTGTATATTGCAGAGTTTATTTGATAAAATAAATTATGTCAGAAAGGACAATAGTTTAACATTTAGTAGAAAATAACAGTGTCAAAGAACAGTTTGAGAGACCAGATTATATTGTATATATAATGTATCAACAATTTTTTCGAGTAAATCTTACTAATTAGGGTTTGCAGTGTCTAAAAAGTACACCCTGTCTTTCTAGAATCCTTATTGCACTTAACTCATAATTTCTTTAGAAAACTATACTTATATAACATACACTTTCAGACTAACGTGCT